TATAATATAAAACCACTTCTAACACTCTTTCCCCTGTTTAACACCTTAAATATACGCCATTACCCATATAACTATTTGTAGCTAGCTAAACTAGCTAACATTAGCTAACCAAGCTAGCTAGCAAATCACACCAAACCACAGCATCATGCTGTGGGGATGTTTTTCAGCGGCAGGGACTGGGAGACTAGTTAGGATTGAGGGAATGATGAACGGAGCAAAGTACAGAGAGATCCTTTATGAAAACCTGCGCCAGAGCGCTCAGGACCTCAGACTGGGGTGAAGGTTCACCTTCCAACAGGACAACGACCCTAACCACACAGCCAAGACAATCAAATCAAATTTGTCACATGCGCTGAAAACACCTTACCCTGAAATGCTTACTTACAAGCCCTTATCCAACAATGCAGTTCAAGAAATAGTTAAGAAAATATTTACTTAATAAAAATAAAATAAAAAGTAACACAATAAAATAACAATAACGAGGCTATATACAGGGGGTACAGGTTAGTCGAGGTAATATGTACATGTAGGTAGGGGTAAAGTGACTATGCATAGATAATAAATAGCGAGTAGCAGCAGGGGGGGTGTCAATGTAGTCCGGATGGCCATTTTATTAATTGTTCAGCAGTCTTATGGCTTTGGGGTAGAAGCTGTTCAGGAGCATTTTGGACCTAGACTTGGCACTCCGGTACCACTTGCCGTGCGGTAGCAGAGAAAACAGTCTATGACTTGGGTGACTGGAGTCTTTGTCAGTTTTTTGGGCCTTCCTCTGACACGCCTAGTATAGAGGTCCTGGATGGCAGGAAGCTTGGACCCAGTGACGTACTGCGCCGTATGCATTATCCTCTGCAGCGCCTTACGGTCGGATGCCATATGCAGTTGCCATACCAGGCGGTGATGCAACCAGTCAGGATGCTCTCGATGGTGCAGCTATAGAACATTTTGAGGATCTGGGGACCCATGCCAAATCTTTTCAGTCTCCTGAGGGGGAAAAGGTGTTGTCGTGCCCTCGTCACAACTTTCTTTGTGTGTTTGTACCATGATAGTTTGTTGGTGATGTGGACACCAAGGAACTTGAAACTCTCGACCCGCTCCGCTACAGCCCCGTCGATGTGAATGGGGGCATGTTCGGCCCTCCTTTTCCTGTAGTCCACGATCAGCTCCTTTGTCTTGCTCACATTGCGGGAGAGGTTGTTGTCCTGGCACCACACTGCCAGGTCTCTGACCTCCTCCCTGTAAGCTGTCTCATTGTTGTCGGTGATCAGGCCTATCACCATTGTGTCATCAGCAAACTTAATGGTCTTGGAGTCGTGCTTAGCCACGCAGTGGGTGAACAGGGAGTACAGGAGGGGACTAAGCACACACCCGAGGGGCCCCCGTGTTGAGGGTCAGCGTGGCAGATGTGTTGTTGCCTACCCTTATGCAGGAGTGGCTTTGGGACAATCTCTGAATGTCCTTGAGTGGCCCAGCCAGAGCCTGAACTTGAAACCGTTCGAACATCTCTGGAGAGACTTGAAAATAGCTGTGCAGCGACGCTCCCCATCCAACCTGACAGAGCTTGAGAGGATCTGCAGAGAAGTATGGGAGAAACTCCCCAAATACAGGTGTGCCAAGCTTGTAGCGTCATACCCAAGAAGACTCGAGGCTGTAATCGCTGCCAAAGGTGCTTCAACAAAGTACTGAGTAAAGGGTCTGAATACTTATGTAAATATGATATTTCAGTTTTAATTTTTTTTATACATTTGCAAACATTTCTAAAAACCTGTTTTTGCTTTGCCATTATGGGGCATTGTGTGTAGTTTGAGGGAAAAAAAACTGTTTAATCAATTTTAGAATTGATAAACTGAGTAGCAGCAGCGTATATGATGATTGTATGTGAGTGTGTGTGCACGTGGGTTATCAGTATGAATGTGTGTGCATGTTATGTGGGTGAGCAAATGTGTGTGTTGGAGTGTCAGTGTGAGTGAGTGTGTAGAGTCCTGCGAGTGTGCATAGTCAGTGCAATAAAAACAGGGTTAATGCAGATAGTCCGTGTTGCCATTTTGTTAACTATTTAGCAGCCTTATGGCATGGTGATTGAAGCTGTTCAGGAGCTTGTTGGTGTCAGACTAGATACACCGGTACCGCTTGCCGTGCGGAAGCAGAGAGAAAAGTCTATGGCTTGGGTGGCTGGAGTCTTTCAATTTTCCAGGCATTCCTTTCACACCGGTCTTGGATGGCAGGGAGCTTGGCCCCAGTGATGTACCGGGCTGTCCGCACCACCCTCTGTAGCATCATACGCTCGAGGATTGTGCATTTGCCATACCAAGCAGTGATGCAGCCAGTCAAGATGCTCTCGATGGTGCAGCTGTAGAACGTTTTGAGGATTTGAGGGCCCATGCCAAATCTTTTCAACCTCCTGAGGGGGAAGAGGACCTGTCATGCGTTCTTCACGACTGTGCGTGAACCATTTTAAGTCCTTAGTAAAACTTGAAGCGCTCGACCTGCTCCACTACAGCCCGTCAATGTGGACGTGCTCGCACCCCCCACCAAAACATAATGAAATAGGCTACAATATCATAGGTGGCGCATGAGTTTCATGTTTGTGGAAGCAGGTCAGCCCCAACTAGAGGAATGTTTATTGCCTTTTTTAAACACATTTTTATGACACTTTGCATGTCTGAAGACATTATCAGAATCTTTCATAATAGGCATACTACAAAAATGACAGGGTAGTCCTACTCTGCTCATACTGACAAACTAAGATCAATAAAATCGACCTCTTCTTGAATGCAACAATCTAATCTAGGCCTACGAAAAGGGGAGACATTATACAATATGAGGAAATGATTGTCCTAAACTTTCCAGTGGCTGACTCAACCAATGCTAAAGCCAGTGAATATGCGCACGCACCTGGAATATGGTCAACACTCTCCGCTAGAGATTAGTCCTGGTGTAATACTTAAATAATTTAAAAGGATCAATCAGAATGTGACTTTTGTGTTAATCCCGCGATTGAAATTTGAAATATTGCGATAGGCCTAGGGCTATTTTAGATGCTTCTCACTGGCAGCTGCACCTCCACAATCAGCCATTTCATATTTGCCACGCGCACACTGCGCAAACTTCCCGACTGTAGGCTATGAGATTGTGATTTACTATATGCAGCGGTGGAAAAAGTACTCAATTGTCATACTTGAGTAAAAGTATAGATACCTTAATAGAAAGTTACTCAAGTAAAAGTGAAAGTCAGACAGTAAAATACTACTTGAGTAAAAGTCTAAAAGTATTTGGTTTTAAATATACTTAAGTATCAAAATTAAAAGTATAAATAATTTAAAATTCCTTATATTAAGCAAAGCAGACGACACCATTTTCTTGTTTTTCAAATTTACAGATAGCCAGGGGCACACTCCAACACTCAGACATTATTTACAATAGATGCATTTGTGTTTAGTGAGTCCACCAGTCAAGATGCAGTAGGGATGACCACGTGTTCTCTTGATAAGTGCGTGAATTTAACCATTTTCTTGTCCTGCTAAGCATTCAAAATGTAAGAAGTACTTTGGTTGTCAGGGAAAATATATGGAGTAAAAAGTACAATATTTTCTTTAGGAATGTAGTGAAGTAAAAGTAGTCAAAAATCTAAGTAGTACAGACACCCCAAAAAACTACTTAAGTAGTACTTTAAAGTATTTTTACTTAAGTACTTTACACCACTGACTATATGATTGTGACGTAACCCAATTAGATCCCAGGAATCTCCAACTGCATTTAACCGTTCTGATTAGCCAGGAGACAATATAACCAACAAATCACGTATATATATATATATATATATATATATATATATATATATATATATATATATATATAGTATATTTTAAGACCGCCTGATTGGGTGGGCCAGTATTCAATCTGACCCGTGACCCGCCAGGCCCAGCTGTGGCTTCGCCTCTGATTGTATATCATGTGTGGATCTCATGTTCTCCTTTGAGATCAATCATAGCCTGCCTCATCCCCCTTTTTTCACTTTCATTGCCTAGATTTAGTTTGTGTTTAAGTTACTATTGCCAATTGTAATATTCAAATGTAAGTTATTCTCCCAATTCAGCATGTTGCTGCCACTTGTAAAACAAAACGACATTCTCCCTCACCCATCAACAACGCTGACAAAGAACACACAGGTAAACCTGAAATAGTTTTATGACAATATTTCTAAGCGATCCCTTTCCACCTCATCCTAACCCTGCTAACAAGGCAATAATGAAGTCATGCTAAGGATATAAAAAGTAATAGAAATGACAGAGAAAGACACAGACTGACATTCTGCAAGGCTTGCCGAGGTTATTATAATTACAGTATTTGAGCATCACCTCAATACTGCAAAGACAGGATACAGAGGTTCCCTACTACACCCACTGCATGAGTGTTATAAAATCTGTGTGGTTCTGGTCCAAAGTGTCAATGAGTGGACCGACGACACACATAACAAAGATTCACTGGGCAGGGCAAGGAGAATGCAACCTTGTTCAAACCACAGACTTTGTTCTCCACAGGCATCTTTTATGTCACCATAATAATAACCTATGTAGAACAGTCACGGCACCTCCCCTCCCCACCAGCAGATGGCACTGGCGAGCCCCTGTAGCTTTCCCATCAGTGCAAAACAAACTGAAGTTAACAGCAATCAAAATAATCATGATAATAAAGTCTGAAATCGACTAAATGAAGTAAGAGAGTTAAGAGGGACTACTAGGCCTGTAGACATAAGGCCTTTAAGCAGGCGTGACTCCCTCTACCTTTAAGCAGGCGTGACTCCCTCTACCTTTAAGCAGGCGTGACTCCCTCTACCTTTAAGCAGGCGTGACTCCCTCTACCTTTAAGCAGGCGTGACTCCCTCTACCTTTAAGCAGGCGTGACTCCCTCTACCTTTAAGCAGGCCTGACACCCTCTACCTTTAAGCAGGCGTGACTCCCTCTACCTTTAAGCAGGCGTGACTCCCTCTACCTTTAAGCAGGCCTGACACCCTCTACCTTTAAGCAGGCCTGACACCCTCTACCTTTAAGCAGGCCTGACACCCTCTACCTTTAAGCAGGCCTGACACCCTCTACCTTTAAGCAGGGTTCTTTCTACCTTTAAACACGCCCTTTTGATTGCCCAGTGAAAACGCTAAGGACAAGCAGCACCATCTCTCTCCTAGAGTCTTATCTGTCCCTCTAGATCCCACAGATCCACCAGGGTTTGAGGGCTCATGGGTTCAAGTCACAAGACAAAGGATTACAGATGTTTCAAATGGCCAAAAAATCAACAGCAAAGTTAAACAGTAATGATGGTAACACATGAGTAAATATACAATAATACATTGTACATACAGTCAGTAGAAAATAAAGAATATTTTACCACTGTAAATATATGTATATATAGATATATTCTATAAAACAGACCAGTTATGCTATGAATATAGCTACATGTAAAGCTTTATTTCTTATATATTACTAAAGACAGTACAGTATCAGTGGTTCCCTGACCATTCCAGCTGAAATGGTTTCTGAGCAAGCATCCCCTCAGGGCAGCCCTTGCCTTATACCAAGGACCTGATGCAACCGTAGAATTCTATTTCCATGGTCCGATGCTGCACTCCTCCACAGGCTGAGCGGTAAGCTCAGGGTGGGTACACAGAGGAGGAGGGAGAGGTCGGATGGCTGGAGCCTTGTGGGAGCGTCCTCCCCTGTCCTCATCTCCAGGGCACGTCTGTGCCTCCTGTACCCATTTTAGCCTTTCACAGAGATCTTGTTCTCCACAGCAGCCAGCATGGCACAGAATCGAGAGTTCTCATTGGCCAGCAGGTTGGACGGCTCGTCAAACTCCACCACCTAAATGAAATGGAGGCCGGGGGAAACAAAACAAGGCTTTAGGGATTCCTTGGAGCATAGATGTGGGGGAGTATCACTACATAAATGTCAATTTAGTAAGACCTAAAAGCCTTCCAAGCCCATTAGCCAGCTGTAGAGACAGGAAATGTGAAAGTATGTAGCCTCACGTTCCGTCTCCGTATGACCAACCCGGGATGCATACCCTTGTTTAAAACAAGTCTTTGTGACTTAGGTTGAGCTACAGGGCAACACAGCTTCAGGACTCACTAGCTAGCGTGTGTGTGTGTGTGTGTGTGTGTAATATATATATATATATATACAGTGAGGGAAAAAAGTATTTGATCCCCTGCTGATTTTGTACGTTTGCCCACTGACAAAGAAATGATCAGTCTATAATTGTAATGGTATGTTTATTTGAACAGTGAGAGACAGAATAACAACACAAAAATCCAGAAAAACGCATGTCAAAAATGTTATAAATTGATTTGCATTTTAACGAGGGAACTAAGTATTTGACCCCTCTGCAAAACATGACTTAGTACTTGGTGGCAAAACCCTTGTTGGCAATCACAGAGGTCAGATGTTTCTTGTAGTTGGCCACCAGGTTTGCACACATCTCAGGAGGGATTTTGTCCCACTCCTCTTTGCAGATCTTCTCCAAGTCTTGTCCCTGACATCCTTGGAGAGCTCTTTGGTCTTGGCCATGGTGGAGAGTTTGGAATTTGATTGATTGATTGCTTCTGTGGACAGGTTTCGAGGCTGACGTTTGGCAACTCGAACCTTCAGCTCCCTCCACAGATGTTCTATGGGATTAAGGTCTGGAGACTGGCTAGGCCACTCCAGGACCTTAATGTGCTTCTTCTTGAGCCACTCCTTTGTTGCCTTGGCCGTGTGTTTTGGGTCATTGTCATGCTGGAATACCCATCCACGACCCATTTTCAATGCCCTGGCTGAGGGAAGGAGGTTCTCACCCAAGATTTGACGGTACATGGCCCCGTCCATCGTCCCTTTGATGCGGTGAAGTTGTCCTGTCCCCTTAGCAGAAAAACCCCCCCAAAGCATAATGTTTCCACCTCCATGTTTGACGGTGGGGATGGTGTTCTTGGGGTCATAGGCAGCATTCCTCCTCCTCCAAACACGGCGAGTTGAGTTGATGCCAAAGAGCTCGATTTTGGTCTCATCTGACCACAACACTTTCACCCAGTTCTCCTCTGAATCATTCAGATGTTCATTGGCAAACTTCAGACGGGCATGTATATGTGCTTTCTTGAGCAGGGGGACCTTGCGGGCGCTGCAGGATTTCAGTCCTTCACGGCGTAGTGTGTTACCAATTGTTTTCTTGGTGACTATGGTCCCAGCTGCCTTGAGATCATTGACAAGATCCTCCCGTGTAGTTCTGGGCTGATTCCTCACCGTTCTCATGATCATTGCAACTCCACGAGGTGAGATCTTGCATGGAGCCCCAGGCCGAGGGAGATTGACAGTTATTTTGTGTTTCTTCCATTTGCGAATAATCGCACCAACTGTTGTCACCTTCTCACCAAGCTGCTTGGCGATGGTCTTGTAACCCATTCCAGCCTTGTGTATGTCTACAATCTTGTCCTTGACATCCTTGGAGAGCTCTTTGGTCTTGGCCATGGTGGAGAGTTTGGAATTTGATTGATTGATTGCTTCTGTGGACAGGTGTCTTTTATACAGGTAACAAGCTGAGATTAGGAGCACTCCCTTTAAGAGTGTGCTCCTAATCTCAGCTTGTTACCTGTATAAAAGACACCTGGGAGCAAGAAATCTTTCTGATTGAGAGGGGGTCAAATACTTATTTCCCTCATTAAAATGCTAATCAATTTATAACAATTTTTACATGCATTTTTCTGGATTTTTTTGTGGTTATTCTGTCTCTCACTGTTCAAATAAACCTACCATTTAAAGTATAGACTGATAAGTGGGCAAACGTACAAAATCAGCAGGGGATCAAATACTTTTTTCCCTCACTGTAGTACTAATCTTTCGTTAAAAGTCGAGTGAATGTACAGTAGATGAGCTTGTGTTGTGTGTACCTGTCCCTGGTTGAGCACCATAATGCGGTCACAGTTGAGTACGGTGTGCAGCCGGTGGGCTATGGTCAGGGTGGTGCAGTCCTGAAAGGCATTGCGGATTGTCTCCTGGATCAGAGAATCTGTCTCTGTGTCCATTGCTGCCGTGGCCTCGTCCAAGATCAGGACCTGAGAGGGGAGGGGCCACCGAGATGTAAGTCAGAAAGGTGCTGTGACCATAGAAGATTAAAGATATCCTTCTACTCACAAGGTTGGCTACCTGGAAAACCATTGGACGTCAACACACATAAAAATGACAATTCTCTCAATTCCCATTTTGTAGGGTACCTTGCACTGTCTGAGCAGGACTCTAGCAACACAGAGCAGCTGTCTCTCTCCCACAGAGAAGTTCTCTCCGTTCTCCACCACCTCTGACTCCAGCTTCAGGGGCAGCTGAGACACCTGGATGGATGGATGGATGGATAGAGAGAGGGAGAGAGAGTCCTGAATCAAAGACAGAAAATTGAACATGGGTCTAATTTCTCAGTCCTGTGTTACCCATGACCTTCTGAGCCTCTGTGCCTATAACTCTACCCCACAAGCATCTTTCTAAAAACCAGTAATCTAGTATGAGCACACTCTCTCTTGTAGTTTCTTACTCTGGACGCCCGAGTCCCGGATACTCACACACTCCTTCATGTGTGTCCGCTCCAGAGCGTCCCAGATCAGCTCCTCTGCGTATTGTTTAAAGGGGTCCAGGTTTGACCTGGGGGTGGATAGAGGACAAGGACAACTTCAAGACAATGCATCGGCAGTCACCAGAATATATTGGGGACTAAAGGGAAAATCCCATGTGCCAACTCAGCAAGACCACACAACCACATCTGGGACCACCAGGCCAGTGACAGTCTTCATTTACAGTCACAATAGAGCGTTTGAGTGGCGTGCCCACCTGACTGTGCCGCTGAACAGCACAGGCTCCTGAGGGATAATGGACAGCTTGCTGCGGAGGTCGGCCAGGCCGATGTCACAGATGTTGATGCCGTCTATCTTGATGGAGCCGCCACAGGGCTCCACAAGACGGAACAGAGCTACACCCAAAGAAGACTTCCCTGTGGACAGAGCAGGACAGGGAGGACAGAGCAGGACAGGGAGGACAGCGCGGGACAGGGAGGACAGAGCAGGACAGAGCGGGACAGAGCGGGACAGGGAGGACATACTCTGTAGAATTAGAATTATGCAAGCCATAAAATACAACCGGAGCTAACTAGCTCAGCTTATGAATGTCGGTCGAGAGACCAGAATGGCATTGACTTGAATGGGAATGTCTGTTCTAGTCATTCAAATTGAAAATGACATTTAAAAGAGAAATGTAGGTTTCAATAGGAATTAAGTGAAATTGACCTCGTTCCTGGATATAAAACACATGAGATTATATTATACAGTGCCTTGCAAAAGTATTCATCCCCCTTGGAGTTTTTTTTCTATTTTGTTGCATTACAACCTGTAATTTAAATAGATTTTTAATTGGATTTCATGTAATGGACATACACAAAATTGTCCAAATTGGTGAAGTGAAATGAAAACAATAAGTTAAAAAAAAAAAAATCTAAAAAATAATTTACGGAAAAGTGGTGCGTGCATATGTATTCACCCCCTTTGCTATGAAGTCCCTAAATAAGATCTGGTGCAACCAATTACCTTCAGAAGTCACATAATTAGTTAAATAAAGTACACCTGTGTGCAATCTAAGTGTCACATGATCTCAGTATACAGTGAGGGAAAAAAGTATTTGATCCCCTGCTGATTTTGTACGTTTGCCCACTGACAAAGAAATGATCAGTCTATAATTTGAATGGTAGGTTTATTTGAACAGTGAGAGACAGAATAACAACAAAGAAATCCAGAAAAACACATGTCAAAAATGTTATGAATTGATTTGCATTTTAATGAGGGAAATAAGTATTTGACCCCCTCTCAATCAGAAAGATTTCTGGCTCCCAGGTGTCTTTTATACAGGTAACGAGCTGAGATTAGGAGCACACTCTTAAAGGGAGTGCTCCTAATCTCAGCTTGTTACCTGTATAAAAGACACCTGTCCACAGAAGCAATCAATCAATCAAATTCCAAACTCTCCACCATGGCTAAGACCAAAGAGCTCTCCAAGGATGTCAGGGACAAGATTGTAGACATACACAAGGCTGGAATGGGCTACAAGACCATTGCCAAGCAGCTTGGTGAGAAGGTGACAACAGTTGGTGTGATTATTCGCAAATGGAAGAAACACAAAAGAACTGTCAATCTCCCTCGGCCTGGGGCTCCATGCAAGATCTCACCTCGTGGAGTTGCAATGATCATGAGAACGGTGAGGAATCAGCCCAGAACTACACGGGAGGATCTTGTCAATGATCTCAAGGCAGCTGGGACCATAGTCACCAAGAAAACAATTGGTAACACGCTACGCCGTGAAGGACTGAAATCCTGCAGCGCCCGCAAGGTCCCCCTGCTCAAGAAAGCACATATACAGGCCCGTCTGAAGTTTACCAATGAACATCTGAATGATTCAGAGGAGAACTGGGTGAAAGTATTGTGGTCAGATGAGACCAAAATCGAGCTCTTTGGCATCAACTCATCACGCCGTGTTTGGAGGTGGAGGAATGCTGCCTATGCCCACAAGAACACCATGGAGGTGGAAACATTATGCTTTGGGGGTGTTTTTCTGCTAAGGGGACAGGACAACTTCACCGCATCAAAGGGACAATGGACGGGGCCATGTACCGTCAAATCTTGGGTGAGAACCTCCTTCCCTCAGCCAGGGCATTGAAAATGGGTCGTGGATGGGTATTCCAGCATGACAATTACCCAAAACACACGGCCAAGGCCACAAAGGAGTGGCTCAAGAAGAAGCACATTAAGGTCCTGGAGTGGCCTAGCCAGTCTCCAGAGCTTAATCCCATAGAAAATCTGTGGAGGGAGCTGAAGGTTCAAGTTGCCAAACATCAGACTCGAAACCTTAATGACTTGGAGAAGATCTGCAAAGAGGAGGGGGACAAAATCCCTCCTGAGATGTGTGCAAACCTGGTGGCCAACTACAAGAAACGTCTGACATCTGTGATTGCCAACAAGGGTTTTGCCACCAAGTACTAAGTCATGTTTTGCAGAGGGGTCAAATACTTATTTACCTCATTAAAATGCAAATCTATTTATAACATTTTTGACATGCGTTTTTCTGGATTTTGTTGTTGTTATTCTGTCTCTCACTGTTCAAATAAACCTACCATTCAAATTATAGACTGATCATTTCTTTGTCAGTGGGTAAATGTACAAAATCAGCAGGGGATCAAATACTTTTTTCCCCTCACTGTATATACACCTGTTCTGAAAGGCCCCTGAGTTTGCAACACCACTAAGCAAAGGGCACCACCAAGCAAGCGGCACCCTGAAGACCAGGGAGCTCTCCAAACAGGTCAGGGACAAAGTTGTGGAGAAGTACAGATCAGGGTTGGGTTATAAAATAATATCAGAAACTTTGAACATCCCACAGAGCACCATTAAATCCATTATTAAAAAATGGAAAGAATATGGCACCACAACAAACCTGCCAAGAGAGGGCCGCCCACCAAAACTCACGGACCAGGCAAGGAGGGCATTAATCAGAGGTAACAAAGAGACCAAAGATAACCCTGAAGGAGCTGCAAAGCTCCACAGCGGAGATTGGAGTATCTGTCCATAGGACCACTTTAACCCGTACACTCCACAGAGCTGGGCTTTACGGAAGAGTGGACAGAAAAAAGCCATTGCTTAAAAAAAGGCATGTGGGAGACTCCCTAAACATATGGAAGGAGGTACTCTGGTCAGATGAGACTACATTTGAGCTTTTTGGCCATCAAGGAAAACGCTATGTCTGGCGCAAACCCAACACCTCTCATCACCCGAGAACACCATCCCCACAGTGAAGCATGGTGGTGGCAGTCTCATGCTGTGGGGATGCTTTTCATCAGCAGGGACTGGGAAACTGGTCAGAATTGAAGGAATGACGGATGGCGCTAAATACAGGGAAATTATTGAAGGAAACCTGTTTGAGTTATTATAATTTCTTTGTGTGTTTTCATTCATCCTGCCAGAGAATTGAGACTAGGACGGAGATTCACCTTCCAGCAGGACAAAGCCCTAATCATACTGCTAAAGCAACACTCAAGTGGTTTAAGGGGAAACATTTAAATGTCTTGGAATGGCCTAGTCAAAGCTCAGACCTCAATCCAACTGAGAATCTGTGGTATGACTTAAAGATTGCTGTACACCAGCGGAACCCATCCAACTTGAAGGGGCTGGAGCAGTTTTGCCTTGAATGGGCAAAAATCCCAGTGGCTAAAAGTGCCAATCTTATAGAGACATTCCCCAAGAGACTTGCAGCTGTAATTGCTGCAAAAGGTGGCTCTACAAAGTATTGACTTTGGGGGGGTGAATAGTTATGCACGCTCAAGTTCAGTTTTTATGTCTTATTTCTTGTTTGTTTCACAATTTTTTTTATTTTGCATCTTCAAATTGGTAGGCATGTTGTGTAAATCAAATGATACAAACTCCCAAAAAATCTATTTTAATTCCAGGTTGTAAGGCAACAAAATAGAAAAAATGCCAAGGGGGGTGAATGCTTTCGCAAGCCACTGCACGGGTAAGATTTTCAGATACATTATCAAACAGGACATGGCTTCGAGAGATGTTTCACTGACTGTTTCCACTGACCTGAGCCCGTCCGGCCCACTATGCCAATTTTCTCCTTGGGCTGGATGGTGCAGGACAACTTCTTGAGAACCAGCGGCAAATTGTCTCTGTATCTCATCTCAGTCCCGTCAAACACCACCTCGCCCTCCTGGGGCCAGTCTGGCGGGGGCGCCTTGTTCTTGATGCGGGCCGGGGCCTCCAGTGCTAGAGACTGGGAGAGAGCAGGGGAAACCGCGATGGGGTTCATGATCATAATAATACCGCACTTCAATTGTTTAGCACCTTTCAAACATATACATTGCAGCCCAAAATACTTAGAAATGTGGAGTTAAAGTAACTCTGAAAAACTCCAGGCCTCAGCTATAGTACCTCTGTCTTCTTAGGATTTCCTAGTGAGACAACATATGCAGTAAAAGTGCATGTATTAGTAAAGCAGTAACCTCAATGTAGTGGTGAATTCTCTCCACAGAAGTGAAGCGAGCCTCCGTTTCAGAGGCTAGTCTGACTGTGAACTGGAACAGCCCTGTGAGCTGAGAGAGAGGGGGATAATACATTATTTATACAATTATATGTACAGTTGAAGTCGGAAGTTTACATACACCTTAGCCATATACATTTAAACTCAGTTTTTCACAATTCCTGACATTTAATCCTAGTAAACATTCCCTGTCTTAGGTCAGTTAGGATCACCACTATTTTAAGAATGTGAAATGTCAGAATAATAGTAGAGAGAATTATTTATTTCAGCTTTTATTTCTTTCATCACATTCCAGTGGGTCAGAAGTTTACATACCCTCAATTAGCATTTGGTAGCATTGCCTTTAAATTGTTAAACTTGGGTCAAACGTTTCGGGTAGCCTTCCACAAGCTTCCCACAATAAGTTGGGTGAATTTTGGCCTATTCCTCCTGACAGAGCTGGTGTAACTGAGTCCGGTTTGTAGGCCTCCTTGCTCGCACACGCCTTTTCTGTTCTGCCCACACATTTTCTATAGGAATGAGGTCAGGGCTTTGTGATGGCCACTCCAATACCTTGACTTTGTTGTCCTTAAGCCATTTTGCCACAACTTTGGAAGTATGCTTGGGGTCATTGTCCATTTGGAAGACCCATTTGCGACCAAGCTTTAACTTCCTGACTGATGTCTTGAGATGTTGCTTCAATATATCAACATAATTTTCCTTCCTCATGATGCCATCTATTTTGTGAAGTGCACCATTCCCTCCTGCAGCAAAGCACCCCCACAGCATGATGCTGCCACCCCCGTGCTTCACGGTTGGGATGGTGTTCTTCGGCTTGCAAGCTAACCCCTTTTTCCTTCAAACATAACGATGGTCATTATGGCCAAACAGTTCAAATTTTTGTTTCATCAGACCAGAGGACATTTCTCCAAAAAGTAAGATCTTTGTCCCCATGTGCAGTTGCGTACAGTAGTCTGGCTTTTTTATGGAGGTTTTGGAGCAGTGGCTTCTTTACATTTACATTTACATTTTAGTCATTTAGCAGACGCTCTTATCCAGAGCGACTTACAGTTAGTGAATACATATTTTATTATACTGGCCCCCCGTGGGAATCGAACCCACAACCCTGGCGTTGCAAACGCCATGCTCTATCAACTGAGCTACATCCCTGCCGGCCATTCCCTCCCCTACCCTGGACGACGCTGGGCCAATTGTGCGCCGCCCATGAGTCTCCCGGTCGCGGCCGGCTGCGACAGAGCCTGGATTCGAACCAGAATCTCTAGTGGCACAGTTAGCACTGCGATGCAGTGCCTTAGACCACTGCGCCACTCAGGAGACCAGATCTTTGCTGAGCGGCCTTTCAGGTTATGTCGACATAGGAGTCGTTTTACAGTGGATATAGACACTTTTGTACCTGTTTCCTCCAGCATCTTCACAAGGTCCTTTGCTGTTGTTCTGGGATTGATTTGCACTTTTCGCACCAAATGATGTTCATCTCTAGGAGGCAGAACGCGTCTCCTTCCTGAGCGGTATGACGGCTGCATGGTCCCATGGTGTTTATATGTGCATACTATTGTTTGTACAGATGAACGTGGTACCTTCAGGCATTTGGAAATTGCTCCGAAGGATGAACCAGACTTGTGGAGGTCTACAATTCTTTTTCTGAGGTCTTGGCTGATTTCTTTTGATTTTCCCATGATGTCAAGCAAAGAGGCACTGAGTTTTAAGGTAGGTCTTGAAATACATCCACAGGTACACCTCCAATTGACTCAAATGATGTCAATTAGCCTATCAGAAGCTTCTAAAGCCATGACATCATTTTCTGGAATTTTCCAAGCTGTTTAAAGGCACAGTCAACTTAGTGTATGTAAACTTCTGACCCACTGGAATTGTGATACAGTGAATTATAAGTGAAATAATCTGTCTGTAAACAATTGTTGGAGAAAATTACTTGTGTCATGCACAAAGTTGATGTCCTAACCGACTTGCCAAAACTCTAGTTTGTTAAGAAGAAATTTGTGGAGTGGTTGAAAAACGAGTTTTAATGACTCCAATCTAAGTGTATGTAAACTTCCGACTTCAACTGTATTAAAGTCATCTATAGTACTGTAACCATGTCCTCTTTTAATCAAGTTTCTAATAAGTATGTATTACATGCTTTGTCATGCCATATAATAGATCCACGCAGCTCTGTTTAGAAATATAACAACCAACCAAGGGAAAGATGAGTGAGGAATGGATGGGAAAGTGGAGGAGGAGGAGATAGAGGAATTAAAAGAGAGCAAAGGGAGCAAGATAATACTGATAATACTACCAATAATACTAATACTACCAATAATACTAATACTACTGATACTAATACTACTGATACTACTACCAATACTACTGATACTACTACTGATACTAATAATACTGATAATACTACCAATAATACTGATACTAATTCTAATACTACTGATAATACTACCAATAATACTGATACTACTATAAATACTAATACTACTGATACTAATACTACCAATAATACTAATACTAATGATACTACTGATACTACGACCAATACTATTACTACTGATACTACCAATAATAATACTACTAATACTAATGATAATACTACTAATACTACTGATACTAATACTAATAATACTACCAATAATACTAACACTAATAATGTGGATACTAATACTACTGATAATACTACCAATACTGCTGATACTAATACTAATGATATCAATACTAATAACACAAATAATAATACTAATACAAATAATACTAATAATAATACTAATAACGCGAATAATAATAATAACATTAATACTACTACCAATAATACTAATAATATTATTACTAATACTATTACTAATAATACTAATTATAATAATAACATTGCTAATAATAATACTAATAATATTACTAATGTTAACACCAATAACACTAATACTGATAATAATAATAACACTAATAATAACACTAATATTAATAATACTGATAATAATAACACTAATAATACTAATAATACCAATACTACTAATAATGGTAATACTACTACTACTACTAATAATAATAATACTAATAATAATAATACTAATAATACTACTACTACTAATAATAATGGTAATACCAATCATAATAATACAAAGAATAATACTGGTAATACAAATAATAATAATACTGGTAATAATACGGATAATACTACTACTAATAATAATACTAATAATTCTAATAACAATAACTACTACTACTGCTACTACTGGTAAGTGAAGAGAAAAGTGAGGGGAAGAAGGTAGAGGAGAGCTGGGGTGGTAAGAGAAAAGCATGTATTTTATAATATATCTGCCACTTAAGCAGACACTTTTATCCTGAACCATTTACAGTACAGTGAGTGTACCTAAAACCTAAGAATTGCTGGCACCATGCTCTGAGTCACACTATCTGTGTAGAAAAATTAAAAAATAAAGGGCAAATCCTAACTATGACTTTGAATGTTCACTTAGTCAACCTTTGACATCAATGCATGAATAAGTGAACAATCGTTAGATGGGTCCTCAACCTGAAAGTAGTCTATGGGCCAGGAGAAACTATAATCCATGGTTCGGTTTTCTTAAAAACAGCCACTACAAACTTTAGCCCCTGCTTGCTAACAATCAATGGAAGTGATACGGGCATCAGTGCAATGTAAAAAAGAAAAGGCCATGACATTTGGAAAATTGTACGGAAGCCCCCTTGATTCCCAATTGATTTTTAGCTAGCTAGCATCTAACACATTTAAGTGGAAGTTAAGATTCCCCCCGTAGCGAGGGATTTCTTCAAAGGAGAGGCACTGACCTGCACGGCGTAGGAGATGGCCAGGCCAGCGTAGGCCGGGGGGATCTGGCCATGCATGAGGACTATCATGAGCGCTGTGATGCTGATCAGAGCCACACTGATGACGTCCAGCCGCACAGCCAGCCAGCGCATGGCACAGCTGAACAGGTAGAAAGGAGCCTGGTTCTGATCCAGGAGCTCCTGATACCTGGAGACCACAACAGACGGGAAGCTTGAGGAAAAAGTACAACTTTTGGATGCTTGGTTTCTTGCTTTAGCCATCAAGGAACTAGGATACTTGAAAGGGGCTATATGGAACTTTGTCTCTGGGGGTGCTCTTGAGCCAAAAGTGGTCCCCTAAATGGACAGAAGAGACATAAATGACCTCACTGTAAAGAAAGGGTAAAGCCTACCCACACTCATTAACAAAAGTGTATTATTATATATTGTTTGCCTAGAACAGAGGATGTGTGATTTCATGAGATAATACATGGATTAATATGACATCATATATGATGCGAACATATGACATAAACAATTAGACTAAACTCCCATAGTGCATCTTTAACGAGACTGATCCGAGGGGTTTGGTGGAGCATGTTTTCCAGTACAGATCTAGGATTAGCTTCCCCTCCCCACAAAACCTTAAAGGGATAGCTCGGGAGTTTGGCAATGAAGCCCTTTATTTACTCCCCAGTCAGATGAACTCGTGATACTATTTTTATATATCTCTGCGTCCAGTATGAAGCAGAGATGGGACCAAGTCACAATTTTGCAAGTCCTAAGTAAATCAAGTTTTAACCTTCGAGTCTCGATTCAAGTCCCAAGTAATAATGGGCAAGTCTCAAGTAAAGACTTGCCCATTATGAGCAAGAGTTTCGAGTCTTCAAGTCAACGGTTAAGTGTTTAATGCAAATTTAAAAGCATATTTTTTTTACACTACTAGTACACTACATAATAAACTTGAGTCAAAGATCATGTTAGAAATGTTTTTTTTTCTATTACTTTTACTGATAGAAAGGCCATACAATTGGCACCAATGACAATACTTTTAGTCGTCATTTACATTTCATTTACATCATTTAGCAGACGCTCTTATCCAGAGCGACTTACAGTTAGTGCATACATTATTCTTTTTAATTTTCATACCCCATGGGAATCGAACCCACAACCCTGGCGTTGCAAACGCCATGCTCTACCAACTGAGCTACCTCTTAAGGCTCTAAAGTTTAACAAGTTTGATTTCTGCATGACTATACAATAAAAAACAAGTGCAAACTTCAGAGCAGCCATTGTATGTCCTCTAATTACTTTTACGCTACATTATCATCATGAATTTCCTTTCTCTTGCAATGCATTGCTTTTGCAAAGGATCAACATTTGCCAAGAGTATCACCCGTTTGTGAGCGATGGGGCCGCAGTACGATTTTTCATGGCTGAACACACACTCCACATTAAGCAGGCACTGCAAAAGGCCGAAGAATGTCGCCCAACTCTTTCAGTAGTTTCCACACTCTCAATGAAAATATGAATTCCTTATGCCCACTCTTCCAGCGCCCGACACCTTCAGGTAGTCGCAATGAAACACTGCTCTCACCTGCCTCGGTGGGAGTTCCTGTGTGTGTTCACTGCAGCAGGAATTCTCCTCACTCCAAACTCACCCTCAAACGCCTTTTTTAAATGGGTGCTAGTGTGGGGCAATGAGCTAATCTTAGACACTTTGGAATGAGCAGGACTGACACCTCAAGTCTCCTTCAACCCATCCCCCACCACTAGTTGCAATGTACAGTATCTCACAAAAGTGAGTATACCCCTCACATTTTAGTAAATATTTGAGTATATATTTTCATGTAAGATACACTGAAGAAATGACACTTTGCTACAATGTAAAGTAGTGAGTGTACAGCTTGTATAACAGTGTAAATTTGCTGTCCCCTCAAAATAACATAACACACAGCCATTAATGCAGCCCCAGACCATGACACTCCCACCACCATGCTTGACTGTAGGCAAGACACACTTGTCTTTGTACTTCTCACCTGGTTGCCGCCACACATGCTTGACACCATCTGAACCAAATAAGTTTATCTTGGTCTCATCAGACCACAGGACATGGTTCCAGTAATCCATGTACTTAGTCTGCTTGTCTTCAGTAAACTGTTTGCTGGCTTTCTTGTGCATCATCTTTAGAAGAGGCTTCCTTCTGGGATGACAGCCATGCAGACCAATTTGATGCAGTGTGCGGCATATGGTCTGAGCACTGACAGGCTAACCCCCCACCCCTTCAACCTCTGCAGCAATGCTGGCAGCACTCATACGTCTATTTCCCAAAGAAAACCTCTGGATATGACGTTGAGCACGTGCACTCAACTTCTTTGGTCGACCATGGCGAGGCCTGTTCTGAGTGGAACCTGTCCTGTTAAACCGCTGTATGGTCTTGGCCACCGTGCTGCAGCTCAGTTTCAGGGTCTTGGCAATCTACTTATAGCCCAGGCCATCTTTATGTAGAGCAACAATTCTTTTTTTCAGATCCTCAGAGAGTTCTTTGCCATGAGGTGCCATGTTGAACTTCCAGTGACCAGTATGAGGATGTGTGAGAACGATGACACCAAATTTAACACACCTGCTCCCCATTCACACCTGAGACCTTGTAACACTAATGAGTCACATGACAGTGGGGAGGGAAAATTGATAATTGGGCCCAATTTGGACATTTTTACTTAGGGGTGTACTCACGTTTGTTGCCAGCGGTTTAGACATTAATGGCTGTGTGTTGAGTTATTTTGAGGGGACAGCAAATTTACACTGTTATACAAGCTGTACACTCACTACTTTACATTGTAGCAAAGTGTCATTTCTTCAGTATTGTCACATGAAAAGATATACTCAAATATTTACAAAAATGTGAGGGGTGTACTCACTTGTGAGATACTGTATGTGCAAAACACTAAACGTTGTTGTTTACCATTTTTACCCAAAGTAGTGTCGATGGTCTCCTGTTCTTCAACTTCCAGGTTATTCCATATGTCTGGATCATCATGGACAGCCTCTTCTTCTTCACTTGGGAAGCACACTGAACACCTTTTTCATGTTAGCTGCATTGTCACATAATGTAATCTAGCTTGTGTTTGATCCCATACTAGTCACAGATGCCCACAAACTGCTCACATATTTGCTCCCATGTGTGATCCTCTAAAGCGGTTACATGCCAGCAGATTGCACTTTCAGTCCAGTGGGCGGTGACTCATCTTTCTGTCAGATCATATGTCTACCATGACAGAGATGCTTGTGTCATCCGGCCTGAGTTTTGTCTGACTGTTGTCAATCTTGGAGGTTATGGCTCTGCAACACACTGGGGCGTATTTGCTATCAACCACTGACAAAAAGTGACGGAAGCGCATGTGTTCAACGATGGACAGGGGCATGTTGCAATCCACAATCGGGTCTGACATTATGGAATTGGTGATAGCTTTTTGCTGTGGATGGTTTGTGTTGTACAGAGTTGGTGATAGCTTTTTGCTGTGGATGGTTTGTGTTGTACAGAGTTGGTGATAGCTTTTTGCTGTGGATGGTTTGTGTTGTACAGAGTTGGTGATAGCTATTTGCTGTGGATGGTTTGTGTTGTACAGAGTTGGTGATAGCTTTTTACTGTGGATGGTTTGTGTTGTACAGAGTTGGTGATAGCTTTTTGCTGTGGATGGTTTGTGTTGTACAGAGTTGGTGATAGATTTTTGCTGTGGATGGTTTGTGTTGTACAGAGTTGGAAAATGTGAGGCTGCTGATCATCTCGCTCTTCTGGTATTCATCAAAATTATAAAATACGATTAAAAAAAGACTTTAAAAAATCTCCATCTCACCATATTTTTTGTTGAATTCATGAATGCACATATTTAAGGGCCCTGATATTATTCAGTAGGTAATTATCTATGTATTTAGATACATTTCTATTTTAAAAATATATTATAGTAGGCCTAGATAGGGATGTTAAAAACAAAAATCCTAAACTTGCTGTCCACTTCAGACACAAATGGTAGGGGGAGCCATTGCAAGCTAGTAAGTTAGAGAACATTACCTCACTTTAGCTAGAATCTCTTGAGTCATACAGCTCAAGTTAAGTCACGAATCATAGACGCTCAAGTCAAAATCGAGTGGCAAGTGCGTTTTCTTTCCGCCAAGTAAAGTCGCAAATTTTGCGACTCCAGTAATACTTCAGTCCAAGTCACGTGACTCGACATCTCTGGTATGAAGGAAGATAGTTTTGCGACCCAATGTTAACTAGCATTAGCGCTATCAATGCTAACTGTACCCAAAGATTTCCAGTCTTAGCGCTAAGCTAGTTAACATTGGCTCGCGAAACTACCTCCAACTTCCTTCATACTGGACACAGAGACATAAAAATGGTATCCACATCATCTGACTCTGGGGAAGTAGATAAAGGGCATCATTGCCAAAATCCCAAACTATCCCTTTAACCATTAGTGGGGAAAATGTCAAACTGACCCAAGATCAGTGTCTAGAGGCAACTTCACCCTACACCTCGACGGCTCACCTGTCCAGGAACTCGTGGCCCCTGTTGTAGGCGTGGATGGTGGAGAGGCCCTGGATGCTGGAGGTGATGTGCGAGACGAAGGGCGACTGGGTGACGTTGTCCAGGCGCTTGAGCTCGCGGATGAACACGCGCGACACCATGTGGAGCATGGTGAAGAGCAGCACCAGGGGGCCCACAGCCACTAGGAACCAGGGGAAGATGCTGCCGATCACGCCCAGGCAGAAGAAGACCAGGATGACGTTCTGGATGAACATCTCTGCCTGGAACGGCAGCCGTGTGTCCACTGGGAGGGAGGAAGAGAAAAGACAGATGGTATATATATGTATGTGTGTGTGTATGCTAAATAACAAAAAATAAATAAAAAATAAATAGAAAGATTATTAACAGTTCCAAATACCAGGCATTTTTGGCACAAAACCGGCGTCCGTTAGAAAGCTGAAAATGAAGAGGGAGTTCACCTTTCAGCACGACAACAACCCAAAGCACACATCCAAATCCACAAAAGCATGGCTTCACCAGAAGAAGATTAACGTTTTGGAATGGCCCAGCCAGAGCCCAGACCTGAATCCAATTGAACATCTCTGGGGTGATGTGAAGAGGGCTGTGCACAGGAGATGACCTCGCAATCTGACAGATTTGGAGCGCTTTTGCAAAGAAGAGTGGGCAGATATTGCCACATCAAGATGTGCCATGCTAATAGACTCCTATCCAAAAAGACTGAATGCTGTAATAAAATCAAAAGGTGCTTCAACAAAGTATTAGTTTAAGGGTGTGCACACTTATGCAACCAGGTTATTATGAATATTTTTTATTTTTCCCCCTCAAAGATTTTTCAATTGAATTGTTCACGTTATAGGTCACATTAAAGGTGGAAAAAGTTCTGACATGATTTATCTTTGTCTCATGCTTTTACATCACAAAAACCTGGCATTTTAACAGGGGTGTGTAGACTTTTTATATCCACTGTGTGTGTGTGTGTGTGTGTGTGTATATATATATACACATATATATATATATATACACACACACACAGTGGGGAGAACAAGTATTTGATACACTGCCGATTTTTTGTAGAGGTCTGTAATTTTTATCATAGGTACACTTCAACTGTGAGAGACGGAATCTAAAACAAAAATCCAGAAAATCACATTGTATGATTTTAAAGTAATTAATTTGCATTTTATTGCATGACATAAGTATTTGATCACCTACCAACCAGTAAGAATTCCGGCTCTCACAGACATGTTAGTTTTTCTTTAAGAAGCCCTCCTGTTCTCCACTCATTACCTGTATTAACTGCACCCGTTTGAACTCGTTACCTGTATAAAAGACACCTGTCCACACACTCAATCAAACAGACTCCAACCTCTCCACCATGGCCAAGACCAGAGCGCTGTGTAAGGACATCAGGGTTCAAATTGTAGACCTGCACAAGGCTGGGATGGGCTACAGGACAATAGGCAAGCAGCTTGGTGAGAAGGCAACAACTGTTGGCGCAATTATTAGAAAATGGAAGAAGTTCAAGATGACGGTCAATCACTCTCGGTCTGGGGCTCCATGCAAGATCTCACCTCGTGGGGCATCAATGATCATGAGGAAGGTGAGGGATCAGCCCAGAACCACACGGCAGGACCTGGTCAATGTCCTGAAGAGAGCTGGGACCACAGTCTCAAAGAAAACCATTACTAACACACTACGCCGTCATGGATTAAAATCCTGCAGCGCACGCAAGGTCCCCCTGCTCAAGCCAGCGCATGTCCAGGCCCGTCTGAAGTTTGCCAATGACCATCTGGATGATCCAGAGGAGGAATGGGAGAAGGTCATGTGGTCTGATGAGACAAAAATAGAGCTTTTTGGTCTAAACTCCACTCGCCGTGTTTGGAGGAAGAAGAAGGATGAGTACAACCCCAAGAACACCATCCCAACCGTGAAGCATGGAGGTGGAAAAATCATTCTTTGGGGATGCTTTTCTGCAAAGGGGACAGGACGACTGCACCGTATTGAGGGGAGGATGGAAGGGGCCATGTATCGCGAGATCTTGGCCAACAACCTCTTTCCGTCAGTAAGAGCATTGAAGATGGGTCGTGGCAGGGTCTTCCAGCATGACAACGACCCGAAACACACAGCCAGGGCAACTAAGGAGTGGCTCCGTAAGAAGCATCTAAGGAGTGGCCTAGCCAGTCTCCAGACCTGAACCCAATAGAAAATCTTTGGAGGGAGCTGAAAGTCTGTATTGTCCAGCGACAGCCCCGAAACCTGAAGGATCTGGAGAAGGTCTGTATGGAGGAGTGGGCCAAAATCCCTGCTGCAGTGTGTGCAAACCTGGTCAAGACCTACAGGAAACGTATGATCTCTGTAATTGCAAACAAAGGTTTCTGTACCAAATATTAAGTTCTGCTTTTCTGATGTATCAAATACTTATGTCATGCAATAAAAAGCAAATTAATTACTTAAAAATCATACAATGTGATTTTCTGGATTTTTGTTTTAGATTGCGTCTCTCACAGTTGAAGTGTACCTATGATAAAAATGACAGACCTCTACATACTTTGTAAGTAGGAAAACCTGCAAAATCGGCAGTGTATCAAATACTTGTTCTCCCCACTGTACATACATACACACACATATATACATACACACAAATATATATATATATATATATATATATATATATATATATACACATACATACACTGCTCAAAAAAATTAAGGGAACACTAAAATAACACATCCTAGATCTGAATGAATGAAATCATCTTATTAAATACTTTTTTCTTTACATAGTTGAATGTGCTGACAACAAAATCACACATAAATTATCAATGGAAATCAAATGTATCAACCCATGGAGGTCTGGATTTGGAGTCACCCTCAAAATTAAAGTGGAAAACCACACTACAGGCTGATCCAACTTTGATGTAATGTCCTTAAAACAAGTCAAAATGAGGCTCAGTAGTGTGTGTGTGGCCTCCACGTGCCTGTATGACCTCCCTACAACGCCTGGGCATGCTCCTGATGAGGTGGCGGATGGTCTCCTGAGGGATCTCCTCCCAGACCTGGACTAAAGCATCCGCCAACTCCTGGACAGTCTGTGGTGCAACGTGGGGTTGGTGGATGGAGCAAGACATGATGTCCCAGATGTGCTCAATTGGATTCAGGTCTGGGGAACAGGCGGGCAAGTCCATAGCATCAATGCCTTCCTCTTGCAGGAACTGCTGACACACTCCAGCCACATGAGGTCTAGCATTGTCTTGCATTAGGAGGAACCCAGGGCCAACCGCACCAGCATATGGTCTCACAAGGGGTCTGAGGATCTCATCTCTGTACCTAATGGCAGTCAGGCTACCTCTGGCGAGCACATGGAGGGCTGTGTGGCCCCCCAAAGAAATGCCACCCCACACCATGACTGACCCACCGCCAAACCGATCATGCTGGAGGATGTTGCAGGCAGCAGAACTTTCTCCACGGCGTCTCCAGACTCTGTCACGTCTGTCACGTGCTCAGTGTGAACCTGCTTTCATCTGTGAAGAGCACAGGGCGCCAGTGGCGAATTTGCCAATCTTGGTGTTCTCTGGCAAATGCCAAACGTCCTGCACGGTGTTGAGCTGTAAGCACAACCCCCACCTGTGGACGTCGGGCCCTCATACCACCCTCATGGAGTCTGTTTCTGACCGTTTGAGCAGACACATGCACATTTGTGGCCTGCTGGAGGTCATTTTGCAGGGCTCTGGCAGTGCTCCTCCTGCTCCTCCTTGCACAAAGGCGGAGGTAGCAGTCCTGCTGCTGAATTGTTGCCCTCCTACGGCCTCCTCCACGTCTCCTGATGTACTGGCCTGTCTCCTGGTAGCGCCTCCATGCTCTGGACACTACGCTGACAGACACAGCAAACCTTCTTGCCACAGCTCGCATTGATGTGCCATCCTGGATGAGCTGCATTACCTGAGCCACTTGTGTGGGTTGTAGACTCCGTCTCATGCTACGGTGAAGCATGGTGGTGGCAGAATCATGCTGTGGGGATGTTCTTCAGCGGAAGGGACTGGGAGACTAGTCAGGATCGAGGCAAAGATTAACGGAGCAAAGTACAGAGATATCCTTGATGAAAACCTGCTCCAGAGCGCTCAGGACCTCAGACTGGGGTGAAGGTTCACCTTCCAAAAGGACAACGACCCTAGGCACACAGCCAAGAAAACGCAGGAGTGGCTTTGGGACACGTCTCTGAATGTCCTTGAGTGGCCCAGCCAGAGCCCGGACTTGAACCCGATCGAACATCTCTGGAGAGACCTGAAAATAGCTGTGCAGCGACGCTCCCCATCCAACCTGACAGAGCTTGAGAGGATCTGCAGAGAAGAATGGAAGAATCCCCAAATACAGGTGTGCCAAGCTTGTAGCGTCATACCAAAGTAGAAGACTAGAGGCTGTAATCGCTGCCAAAGGTGCTTTAACAAAGTACTGAGTAAAGGGTCTGAATACTTATGTAAATGTAATATCAGTTTTTTTATTTTTAACACATTTGCTAACATTTCTAAAAATCTGTTTTTGCTTCGTCATTATGGGGTTTTGTGTGTAGATTGATGAGAAAAAAACGAGTTCATCCGTTTTTGAATAAGGCTGTAACGTAACAAAATATGAAAAGTCAAGGGGTCTGAATACTTTCCGAAGGCACTGTATATATGTATAGTACCAGTCAAAAGTTTGGACACACCTACTCATTCCAGGGTTTTTCTTTATTTTTACTATTTCCTACATTGTAGAATAATAGTGAAGACTCAAAACTATGAAATAGCACATATGGAATCATGTAGTAACCAAAAAAAGTGTTAAACAAATCAAAATATATTTTAGATTTGAGATTCTTCAAAGTAGCCACCCTTTGCCTTGATGAAAGCTTTGCACACTCTTGGCATTCTCTCAACCAGCTTCACCTGGAATGCTTTTCCAACAGTCTTGATATGCTGAGCTCTTGTTGGCTGCTTTTCCTTCACTCTGCGGTCCGACTCATCCCAAACCATCTCAATTGGGTTGAGGTCGGGTGATTGTGGAGGCCAGGTCATCTGATGCAGCACTCCATCACTCTCCTTGGTCAAATTGCCCTTTACACAGCCTAGAGGTGTGTTTTGGGTCTGTTGAAAAACAAATGATAGTCCCACTTAGCGCAAACCAGATGGGATGGCGTATCGCTGCAGAATGCTGTGGTAGCCATGCTGGTTAAGTGTGCCTTGAATTCTAAATAAATCACACACAATGTCACCAGCAAAGCACCATCACACTTCCTCCTCCATGATTCACGGTGGGAACCACATATGCGGAGATCATCCGTTCACCTACTCTTCGTCTCACAAAGACACGGCAGTTGGAACCAAAAATCTAACATTTGGACTCATCAGACCAAAGGACAGATTTCCACCGGTCTAATGTCCATTGCTTGTGTATCTTGGCCCAAGCAAGCTCTTCTTCTTATTGGTGTCCTTTAGTAGTGGCCTGATTCACGCAGTCTCCTCTGAACAGTTGATGTTGAGATGTGTCTGTTACTTGAACTCTGTGAAGCATTTATTTGGGCTGCAATCTGAGGTGCAGTTAACGCTAATTAACTTATCGTCTGCAGCAGAGGTAACTCTGGGTCTTCCATTCCTGTGGCTGTCCTCATCAGAGCCAGTTTCATCATAGCGCTTGATGGTTTTTGCGACTGCACTTGATGAAACTTTCAAAGATTGATAGACAATGTCTTCAAGTAATGATGGACTGTTGTTTCTCTTTGCTTATTTGAGCTGTTCTTGCCATAATATGGACTTGGTCTTTTACCAAATAAGACTATCTTCTGTATACCCCCTCTCCCTTATCACAACACAACTGATTGGCTCAAACGCATTGAGGAAAGAAATTCCACAAATTAACTTTTAAGAAGGCACATCTGTTAATTGAAATGCATTCAAGGTGACTACCTCATGAAGCTGGTTGAGAGAATGCCAAGAGTGTGCAAAGCTGTCATCAAGGCAAAATATATTTTGATTTGTTTAACACATTTTTGGTTACTAAATGATTCGATATGTGTTATTTCATAGTTTTGAGGTCTTCCCTATTATTCTATAATGTAAAAAAACTAAAAATAAAGAAAATCCCTTGAATGAGTAGGTGTCCAGGCTGTATCACAACCGCCCGTGATTGGGAGTCCCATAGGGCGGCGCACAATTGGCCCATCGTCGTCCGGGTTTGGCCGGTGTAGGCCGTCATTGTAAATAAGAATTTCTTCTTAACTTGCCTAGTTAAATAAAGGTAAAATAAATAAAAAATAAATATATTACTTTTTTTGCGGACCCCCTGCAGTAGCCCCGGTTGATAACCCTGTTGTAGACTTCCAGTCATTGTACTAACACTAGTTAGCATTGGCTCGGGAAACTACCTCTAACTTCCTTCATATTGGACGCAGAGACATAAAAATGGTATCCTGAAGTTTATCTGACTGCCAAATCCCGAACTATGCTTTTAAGTGTTATGCTTTTTAATTTGCTGTTTGTAGATTCGTACAGTACAATAGGGTTGTGTTCATTAGGCACCTCCAGGTATTCCCTCCCTGTTTCAGTCGGTTTTCTTCCATTTGGTTCCTAATGAACACAACCCAGGTGTCAGAGGATCGCACCATACCCTCATCCATGTCTTTAGAGAAGCGGTTGAGGATCCGTCCGGTTGGCGTGGTGTCAAAGAACTTCATGGGGCTGCGGAGAATCTTCCGGAAGAGCTCCTCGTGCAGCCTGGACGAAGCCTGCAAAGTGCCCTGAGGGTACAATAATAGTAGTCACTTTATTTTGGGATTTTTAAAGCAACACTTTTTCTATATCACATAGCTCAAATGTTTTATAGACATATACAGATGTGCCCATACTACACTGAACAAAAATATAAAACGCAACACGTACAAGTGTTGGTCCCATGTTTCATGAGCTGAAATAAAAGCTTATTTCTCTCAAATTGTGCACAAATGTGTTAACATCCTTGTTAGTGAGCATTTCTCCTTTGCCAAGATAATCCAGCCACTTGACAGGTGATTAAATAACATGATCATTACACAGGTGCACCTTGTGCTGGGGACAAAAGGCCACAAACATTTGCAGTTTTGTCACACAACATCACAGATGTCTCAAGTTGAGGGAGCGTGCAATTGGCATGCTGACTGCAGGAATGTCCACCAGAGCTGTTGCCAGAGAATTGATTGTTCATTTCTCTACCATAAGCCACCTCCAACATAATTTTAGAGAATTTGGCAGTACATCCAACCGGCCTCACAACCGCAGACCACGTGTAACCACGCCAGCCCAGGACCTCCACATCTGGCTTCTTCACCTGCGGGATTGTCTGAGACCAGCCACCCGGACAGCTGATAAAACCGTGGGTTTGCACAACCGAAGTGCTCGTCGTCCTCACCAGGGTCTTGACTTGACTGCAATTCGGCGTCGTAACAGACTTCAGTGAGAAAATGCTCACCTTTGATGGCCATTGGGATGCTGGAGAAGTGTGCGCTTCACGGATGAATCCCGGTTTCAACTGTACCGGGTAGATGGCAGACAGCATGTATGGTGTCGTGTTGGCGAGCGGTTTGCTGATGTCAACGTTGTGAACAGAATGCCCCATGGTGGCGGTGGGGTTATGGTATGGGCAGGCATAAACTACGGACAACTAACACAACATTTTATTGATCGAAATTTGAATGTGCAGAGATACTGTGATGAGATTCATTGTCGTGCCATTCATCCGCCGCCATCACCTCATGTTTCAGCATGATAATGCACAGCCCCATTTCGCAAGGATCTGTACACAATTCCTGGAAGCTGAACATTTCCCAGTTCTTCCATGGCCTGCATACTGACCAGACATGTCACCCATTGTTTGGGATGCTCTGAATCGACACGTACAATAGAGTCTTCCAGTTCCCGACAAAATCCAGCAACTTCGCACAGCCATTGAAGAGGAGTGGGACAACATTCCACAGGCTACAATCAACAGCCTGATCAACTCTATGCGAAGGAGATGTGTCGCGCTGCATGGGTCAAATGGTGGTCACACCAGATACTGACTGGTTTTCTGATCTGTGACCGATCTGAGGAGACATAACGGACTCATTGATTAATTAATATAATAACAATACATATGAAGGTGCAGGGGCAGATTAGGCATCTGGCAATTCTGGCAAATGCCAGATGGGCTGGACATTTTTTTAGTTGGGTGGGCTGGATGAAATTGACAAACCAAAACATTTTTTTTATATACAAATAAAAATGAATAAAGGTGATGATATGGCCGGCGGCCAATGGGCCTGTTAAGATTTGTTTTACAGATTTTGGTGACACCAGATACTGTCTGGTTTTCTGATCCACGCCCCTACCTTTTTTTAAAGGTATCTGTGACCAACAGATGCATATCTGTATTCCCAGTCATGAGAAATCCACAGATTAGGGCCTAATTAATTCATTTCGATTGACTGATTTCCTTAAATGAACTGTAATTCAGTAAAACTCTTATATTTTTGTTTAATATACTTTATACATGATCTATTTTAGTTTGGTAGTTTAGTCTATTAAGATTCATCCATCAGTCCATTGGAGAAAACTCCCTGGTGTCATACGCAAACACACAATACCAGACATAACAAACAATCTGATCTTTTACCTTGACGAATATGATGCCGCGCAGCAGTTTGAGCAGCAGCATGACACCCATAGACGAGGCGTAGACTCCAGCGTAGTGCTGCATCAATGGGTTGTCCTTCATACTTTCGCTCACCACCGAACTGTTCCCCACCAACACCGTGGTATTCTACACACAGAACATCATATTCAATACTCAGAACACTCAGATATGGGAGTATTCTGGAGGCTGGTTAATGGATCAAATCATAGGTCGGTCAATAAAGGTGAGAGATGACCTGGCGACAAGGCGGCTAATGGCTTCTGAACCCAGGTATCTTCTGCTGTTGTGCCTTTGTGCAAGGCACTTTAACCCCTAAAAGCACTCGATGACAAGATGCTTCGAGGAGAATCTGCAAAAGCACTATATGAAACAAATGTATTGTTCTAACTGAGCCTCTCTCTCCGGAGGGTGAATGCATGGCTTGGGAAGTCCTTGGAAGAGCAGTTTGTTTGTTTACTGACCCATCCAGTGTGCATGCTGTTGTTCGGTTCAAAGGGAAAGGTAAACAGTCAGTCTCCTCAGAAATACACAGATAAGGATATACTAAACCTAACCCTCCACCAACACCACACACGCGCACAGACATACATTGAGGCAAAAAAGTATTTGATCCCCTGCTGATTTTGTACGTTTGCCCACTGACAAAGAAATTATCATTCTATAATTTTAATGGTAGGTTTATTTGAACAGTGAGAGACAGAATAACAACAAAAAAATTCAGAAAAACGCATGTCAAAAATGTTATAAATTGATTAGCATTTTAATGAGGGAAATAAGTATTTGACCCCCTCTCAATAAAGATTTCTGCCTCCCAGGTGTCTTTTATACAGGTAACGAGCTGAGATTAGGAGCACACTCTTAAAGGGAGTGCTCCTAATCTCAGCTTGTTACCTGTATAAAAGACACCTGTCCACAGAAGCAATCAATCAATCAGATTGATCTCCACCATGGCCAAGATCAAAGAGCTCTCAAAGGATGTCAGGGACAAGATTGTAGACCTACACAAGGCTGGAATGGGCTACAAGACCATCGCCAAGCAGCTTGGTGAGAAGGTGACAACAGTTGGTGCGATTATTCGCAAATGGAAGAAACACAAAAGAACTGTCAATCTCCCTCTGCCTGGGGCTCCATGCAAGATCTCACCTTGTGGAGTTGCAATGATCATGAGAACGGTGAGGAATAAGCCTAGAACTACACGGGAGGATCTTGTCAATGATCTCAAGGCAGCTGGGACCATAGCCACCAAGAAAACAATTGGTAACACACTACGCCGTGAAGGACTGAAATCCTGCAGCGCCCGCAAGGTCCCCCTGCTCAAGAAAGCACATATACAGGCCCATCTGAAGTCTGCCAATGAACATCTGAATGATTCTGAGGAGAACTGGGCGAAAGTGTTGTGGTCAGATGAGACCAAAATGGAGCTCTTTTGGCATCAACTCAACTCTCCGTGTTTGGAGGAGGAGGAATGCTGCCTATGACCCCAAGAACACCATCCCCACCGTCAAACATGGAGGTGGAAACATTATGCTTTGGGGGTGTTTTTCTGCCAAGGGGACAGGACAACTTCACCGCATCAAAGGGACGATGGACGGGGGGGCCATGTTCCGTCAAATCTTGGGTGAGAACCTCCTTCCCTCAGCCAGGGCATTGAAAATGGGTCGGGGCTGGGTATTCCAGCATGACAATGACCCAAACAACAAAGGAGTGGCTCAAGAAGAAGCACATTAAGGTCCTGGAGTGGCCTAGCCAGTCTCCAGACCTTAATCCCATAGAACATTTGTGGAGGGAGCTGAAGGTTTGAGTTGCCAAACATCAGCCTCGAAACCTTAATGACTTGGAGAAGATCTGCAAAGAGGAGTGGAACAAAATCCCTCCTGAGATGTGTGCAAACCTGGTGGCCAACTACAAGAAACGTCTGACCTCTGTGATTGCCAACAAAGGTTTTGCCACCAAGTACTAAGTCATGTTTTGCAGAGGGGTCAAATACTTATTTCCCTTATTAAAATGCAAATCAATTTATAACATTTTTGACATGCGTTTTTCTGGATTTGTTTGTTGTTATTCTGTCTCTCACTGTTCAAATAAACCTACCATTAAAATTATAGACTGATCATGTCTTTGCCAGTGGAACAGCAGTACAGACACACACATGATCAAGGTCAAATTTACACATTAAATATTTAAGTATCTCTCCCCTTACACCTGCTCTCACCACTGATTAGTTGATTAGTGTCTGTCCATATCTCAACACACCAACACTAGTGTGTGAAAACTGCCCCATTCAGTTAATAGCGTTGGTGAGTTTATAATTATAGCGTTATATAATATAATAGGGAGTTTATCGACTACAGTCGTGGTCAAAAGTTTTGAGAATGACACAAGTATTGGTCTTGACAATTACATTACATTTATGCAAAGAGTCAATATTTGCAGTGTTGACCCTTCTTTTTCAAGACCTCTGCAATCCGCCCTGGCATGCTGTCCATTAACTTCTGGGCCACATCCTGACTGATGGCAGCTCATTCTTGCATAATCAATGCTTGGAGTTTGTCAGAATTTGTGGGTTTTTGTTTGTCCACCCGCCTCTTGAGGATTGACCACAAGTTCTCAATGGGATTAAGGTCTGGGGTGTTTCCTGGCCATGGACCCAAAATGTCGATGTTTTGTTCCCCGAGCCACTTAGTTATCACTTTGCCTTATGGCAAGTTGCTCCATCATGCTGGAAAAGGCATTGTTTGTCACCAAACTGTTCTTGGATGGTTGGGAGAAGTTGCTCTCGGAGGATGTGTTGGTAACATTCTTTATTCATGGCTGTGTTCTTAGGCAAAATTGTGAGTGAGCCCACTCGCTTGGCTGAGAAGCAATCCCACACATGAATGGTCTCAGGATGCTTTACTGTTGGCATGACACAGGACTGATGGTAGCGCTCACCTTGTCTTCTCCGGACAAGCTTTTGTCCGGATGCCCCAAACAATCGTAAAGGGGATTCATCAGAGAAAATGACTTTACCCCAGTCCTCAGCAGTCCAATCCCTGTACCTTTTGCAGAATATCAGTCTGTCCCTGATGTTTTTCCTGGAGAGAAGTGGCTTCCTCGCTGCCCTTCTTGACACCAGGCCATCCTCCAAAAGTCTTTGCCTTACTGTGTGTGCAGATGCACTCACACCTGCCTGCTGCCATTCCTGAGCAAGCGCTGCACTGGTGGTGCCCCGATTCCGCAGCTGAATCAACTTTAGGAGACGGTCCTGGCGCTTGCTGGACTTTCTTGGGCGCCCTGAAGCCTTCTTCACAACAATTGAACCTCTCTCCTTGAAGTTCTTGATGAGCCGATAAATGGTTGATTTAGGTGCAATCTTACTAGCAGCAATATCCTTGCCCGTGAAGCCCTTTTTGTGCAACGCAGACGGCACGTGTTTCCTTGCAGGTAACCATGGTTAACAGAGGAAGAACAATGATTTCAAGCACCACCCTCCTTTTACAGCTTCCAGTCTGTTATACTAACTCAATCAGCATGACCGAGTGATCTCCAGCCTTGTCCTCGTCTACACTCTCACCTGTGTTAACGAGAGAATCACTGACATGATGTCAGCTGGTCCTTTTGTGGCAGGGCTGAAATGCAGTGGAAATGTTTTTGGGGGATTAAGTTCATTTTCATGGCAAAGAGGGACTTTGCAATTAATTGCAATTCATCTGATCACTCTTCATAACATTCTGGAGTATATGCAAATTGCCATCATAAAAGCTGACTTTGTGAAAATTAATATTCGTGTCATTCTCAAAACTTTTGACCACGACTATACTACTCCTAAGTTAGTAGTTACAGTTTCTAACAAAAGGCACATTACTTCTTCTCCAAAGACAAGTTCAGTTTGTACTTTCAGGACATCCAGAATGTTGACCGTATCCCCCCAAAAAGTTTAGGCCTAAACAAAGCCTAAAAAACTAATCTTGGTAAGTAATCAGGCTTTCTCTTGAAGATTGAATTTGAGAAAGAGAATGACAATTCCAATTCATCTCCTGAATAGAAAAGGATGACCCCAACCTCATATCAGAACAAAGGGTCTCTGTAGCTCACTGGTAAGCACGGCGATTGACGCCAAGTAGTGGTTCGATCCTGGCATTATCAGGACAAGTTTCACTACCGTATCGAATTGATTATCTGACGATCACGGAAAAAAAAAAAAAAAAAAAAAAAAAATGAAAACAAAAATGAACTGAAATTACATTGACCCCCCCCCCTTCCCCAACCCTGCCACCCGATGCCACCGGTGCCACTCACCCCGCCCCAACCCTGCCACCCGATGCCACTCACCCCGCTGCCCTGCTTGATCCAGTAACTGAGCCACCAGTTACTGAAGGCCGTGCTGCCCACGTTGAGGACGAAGAGGGCCAGGATTAGGAGGAAGGCCAGCGCTCCGCCCGAGGCCTGGATGTAGACGCCGTACACAGACCAGGGGACCGAGCCCCGCCCGCACTCCTCCACCTGCATCAGCTGGCCTGGGGGACAAGGAGAGAGGGAGGTTGAGTAAGGGACAGAGGCAGTGCTGGGTGTAATCTCATTCCCAGACACTTCCGCCTACCTAGCAGCTGGGGACGAGGTTACGGTGGGTGAGATTTTCTATTAGCACTGAACTCTGGGAAAAATAGTTTCTACCGGTACTAATTGTGGAAAGAATGATGAACTTTACTCATAATATGTCCATGAGACAACCGCAATTATTTACTTTCTTGTGTATTGTATATTCTTGTGAGTTGTGAATGAAATGCCGTCTTGTATATTACAAGTGTGATGGTTATTTTGGTCAACTTTGCTCGTGGCTTTTTGAGGACTGTTTTGCAAACTTATTATGTCGTCCTCGGTCTCAATACTCCTTAACAGTCTCCTTTTCTACCAAAGCACTAGAAGGTATAAAGGATGGATAACATTCCACCACATTCATCAAGTGCTTTGTGGTTATGACTGTTGGGTACTAACTTCTAAACTTGAAATATGAAATATCCTTATTCATGTTACCATATTAGAACAGAGGGTGTGGAAATCTACTGAGTGATAAAGGGGAGGACAGGAAGTTGACATTCTGTCAGAACATGTTATTGTTAAATCTCATATATCCTATGGAGAGGAGAAGGGCCACAGTCTGGTTCCAGTCAACAGATAGGACAGGTAGGACAGCCGTGAGTTGGGGAGGAGTGAGGAATTTGGGTCGAGGTCAGATTAAGTAAGAAAGAACAGGCATCATTCAAGTTCCTGCCTAGCAACAGAGATGTATTGGCTGTCTAGATGTGCAAGGGGTTGACTCCGCCCACCAGAGGGTATCAATATATGTACTTGTGGAAACATGTCTTTGTCTTATGCAGCTGTATGACCCAGTGGGTGAATAGACTTGGTTTGAGCTTTACTATTCGTTCGTGAGTTATTCTCTGTTTATTTAGAATCTAACATGACTGAGGGAAAGGAGCTGAGGACAGGAAACAAGAACGCACACCTGTAGCTAGTACAATGGTTCCGTACCGTTGTCTTTGCTAACAGGCTTGTCCTTCTTTATAGATGCAGACTTTGTGTTCTCTGGGGGTTTCTTTAGGGAGTTCCCAGACTTCTCAGTTGGCACCTTTTGAGGAACAATGACATGTTACACGTTATGTGAACCACAATACAACCACAATATAGACAACACTCAATTTACATGACATATGCAAACTAAATTTAAACAAGACATCAGTGGTGGACATCTGAAATAAATTGTTCCGAAAACATATTTTTAGCATAACTGTCTATACACACACACACCTGTCCCTCTCACCTCTATGAAGGGCGTCTCTCCCAGCTGTAGGTTGTTGAACATGGCTGCGTAGTCTCCATTGAGACGCATTAGGCCCTCATGGCTACCCTGCTCCGTGATGCTGCCCTCCCTCATGAAGATGACGTCATCGCAGTCCACCAGGTACTACACAAACACACAGTGAGATTTCATTCCCTGAACGTCATAAGCAAAGGTGGGGCCCAACCTAGCAATGAGAAAATGCTGTTGTGCAGGAAATGTGGGCATTGTCCTACCAAACAATTGTATAGCAAATAATTGCTTCTTAAGGTTAATACAAGACCTTCTGTAGCTTATCTAGACCTTATGCGCATGTATCGTATGTAGTGCTTTACAACCAATATTAAAATGGATAAAGTATTCACCTGCAGCTGGTGAGTGACGAAGATGATGGTCTTGTGGCGGAGCTGCTTTTTGATGGCGTTGTTGAAGATGTGGTTGCCCACGTGGGCATCCAGTGCACTGAGCGGGTCATCCAGGATGTAGATGGCTCGGTCACTGTACAGAGCACGCGCCAGGCTGATCCGCTGGCGCTGCCCGCCACTCAGGTTGGCGCCACGTTCTCCGATCTGAGGAGACATAACAGACTCATTGATTGATTAACATAATAACAATACATATGAAGGTGCAGGGGCAGATTTGCCAGATGGGCTGGACCATTTTTTTAGTTAGGGGGGAATGGATGATACTGACAAACAAAAACATTTTTTTTTTATATACAAATAAAAATTAATAAAGTTGATGATATGGCCGGCGGCCAATAGGCCTGTTAAGATTAGTTTTACAGATTTTGGTCACACCAGATACTGTCTGGTTTATGATCTACGCCCCTACTTTTGTTTTAAAAGGTATCTGTGACCAACAGATGCATATCTGTATCCCCAGTCATGTGAAATCCATAGATTAGGGCTTAATGAATTAATTTCAATTGACTGATTTCCTTATATGAACTGTAACTCAGTAAAATCTTTGAAATTGTTGCATGTTGCGTTTATATTTTTGTTCAGCATAAAAAAGGAAATAGTAACACAAAATAATAACAATGCTATATACAAGGAGTAACGGTACAGAGTCAATGTGCAGGGGTACGAGGTAGTTGAGTAATAATGAGGCTAATAATACAAGGATACCACACTGAGTCATGTGCAGGAGTACAGGTAGTTTGAGGTTATAAGAATGCTATATACAAGGATTGCGTGTGTGTTTTGTGTTTTCTGCCCTCTGTCCTTAAGTAGGGTATCCCCTTAAGTGATGACTGTATTATTATGCATACTGGAAATGACTGGTTACCCTATGCACGTTCCAACTTTTATCCATGATCTGGGAGAGAACTTAGGCCTTCTGCCACCACCATGCTTCACACCGTAGGGATGGTGTCAGGTTTCCTCCAGACGTGACGCTTTGTATTCAGGCAAAATAGTTTAATCTTGGTTTCATCAGACCAGAGAATATTTTTTCTCATGGTCAGAGTCCTTTAGGTGCCTTTTGGCAAATTCCAAGCGGGCTGTCATGTGCCTTTTACTGAGGACTGGCTTCCGTCTGGCCACTCTACCAATAAAGGCCTGATTGGTGGAGTACAGCAGAGATGGTTGTCCTTACTGGAATGTTCTCCTATCTCCACAGAGGAACTCTGGAGCTTTGTCCGAGTGACCATCGGGTTCTTGGTCACTTCTCTGAGTAAGGCCCTTCTCCCCCGATTGCTCACTTTGGCCAGGCGGCAAGCTCTAGGAAGAGTCTTGGTGGATCCAAACTTCTTCCATTTAAGAATGATGTAGGCCACAGTGTTCTTGGGGACCTTCAACGCTGCAAACATTTTTTGGTACCCTTCCCCAGATCTGTGCCTTGACACAATCCTGTCTCGGAGCTCTACGGACAATTCCTTCGACCTCATGGCTTGGTTTTTGCTCTGACATGCACTGTCAACTGTGGGACCTTATATAGACAGGTGTGTGCCTTTCCAAATCATGTCCAATCAATTGAATTTACCACAGGTGGACTCCAATCAAGTTGTAGAAACATCAAGGATGATCACTGGAAACAGGATGCACCTGAGCTCATAGCAAAGGGTCTGAATAATTATGTTTTGTATTTGTAATACATTTGCAACATTTTCTAAAAACCTGTTTTCGCTTTGTCATTATGGGGTATTGTGTGTAGATTGGGAACATTTAATTTAATCAATTTTAGAATAAGGCTCTAACGTAACTAAATTTGTAAAAAGTCAAGGGGTCTGAATACTTTCCGAATGCACTGTACGTTTTGATTTCTAAGACATTCTAAGGTTTGTATCATTCACAACTAAAGTTGCCAAATAACTCTAAATCTAGTGTATAGGACCTGTTTCAAATGATCTGTTTTATGCTCAACATAGCACTTAAATGCGCACTCGCTCCGGAATAGGAAAAATATATTTTCTATTTTATTCAGCTAAGTTAAATTATATATAAAATCATATAATATAAAATAATGGCACAAGACTTATAAGCATACTGTATATTTTCTGCTAAATGAACAAGTCTACAGACTATGGCATGGCGCAAAGCCAGATAACATACAGTAGGCCAACTCATATTCTGTTCCTCTGAAATACATTTTCTTCATGTCATAATGTTTCTTTAGAGCTGCCTAGAATAAATAATGGAATTATTGTGATGGTGTATATTAAATGGATTTATTAGACTTTTAAAAAATGTAGATGTTCCAAAAGGCCCACATCAGTGGCTTGTATAAGTAGAGGCCTGGAGATGCAAAACGTGTTTATGTTAATTAACGGTGAATTACTGTGATAGCGGCAGTCATTTGCATGACACTAACCGGCTGACAAAACTTCATGACCGCCACAATGCGGACCTATAACATTTTTGCTCATCTAGACACAATAAGGCCCGAAGTCTTATTTCCATGGTGGATAAACAAATCATAATTCTCACCTCAGTCAGATCGGCGTTGGGCAGTATAGCCAGGTCAGGTCTCAGACAGCATGCACTCAGAGCAGCCTGGAACCTTGAACACACACAGTGGGATTATACTTCAGAGCTACAGTATATATTGGGTAATGGATGAGCACCTTAGAAATCGCTATGTACATTAATCCAATCGATTCTCACAGTAGTATCATTCCTGTGGCCTGTGAGCTCCAGTGGGTTAATGCTGTGGATCCCGGCACACATGTACGGCCAGCCTAGTGTCGGCATGGGTTCGAATCCGACCCTCTGCCCTTTTGACTCGCAATCTCACCTACCTTTCTGGTCTCCTCTTCACTGTCCTACCTCAATAAAATAAAGATATACTTTAACAAAACTAAAACAACAACAACTGTAGTTTCATTCCGTTACCTGTCCTCCTCGTATTCTTTCCCAAAGAGGATGTTGTCCCTGAGCGTGGCATTGAGGATCCAGGCCTGTTGGGCCACATAGGCAAAGTCCCCGTTCACTGCCACCTTGCCCTCCAGCAGGGTCATCTTAAGGTCATAAAGGTCACAGGTCAGAGTTCACTACAGGTCATCCTCCCATCACTCACATGCTCCGCAATGAAGTTTGCCCCTAGGTACAGATCTAGGATCAGCTTCCCTCCCCCTAATTCTAACCTTAACCATTAGTGGGGGAAATGCTAAACTGACCCTAGATCAGCGTCTAGGGGCAACTTCACCCTAAAACCATTCACACCAGGGGGGATGTATTGAGTGAAGTGAAACGTTCAGATAGAATTGTGAAGGATAGAGCCGACACGATTCCCCATTCTACCTGACAAGGCAATAGTGTGTTCTACATAAGTTATATCTGAACGTTCAGTAAAGTTGCACCCTGTCCAACAGGCCCCTGGGCATCATGCAGCTTAGTAAACAGTTGTCTATAGAGTAAGGGAGGGCCACAGGGACTGCAGTGTGTGCCTGTTATTGAATTGGTGTCCTCATTGGCCAACGAGAGTATATTTCTTACGCTGTGCTGTTGTTTCTACACTGGACGTGTATCGTTTGCTGTGTGAGCAGAGAGCAAATCACTTTATCAAGTTCTCTCAGGCGTTAGCCGCACATCGGATTCTTAAAAATAGAACCAGAGCGTAATGTTACGCTGAGCAGCGCAAGCCTCTCGCGGAGCTGTCCTGCTTACGGACCGTGAGTAGGAGCGACTCACGCGCCGCAAAAATGACACGTCCAGTGTAGCAGGCCTGTTAGACTTATCTTACCTGTCCAAGGATGGCAGAGATCAGAGAGCTCTTCCCACTGCCAACGCTTCCACAGATCCCAGTCAGCTTCCCCTGGAGACAGAGGATAGTATGGTGGATATTTTAGTTCCGTTTATTCATGTTGTACACATTGGCAGTGAAAAGATGAATCGCAGTGCACAATAAAACTAACTAAAATGTATGACGGTTTTCTTATCCCTAGTTTTAGCCTATAAATAGTGCCATGAATTTCCCCTGGTCAGTTAACCACAATAACTCTTCAAACTGTACAGCCCACAGATCGCAGTCTTATTTTACTTTTTGCTGAACATGGGTTGTGTCCCAAATGGCACACTATTCCCCAGCTAGTGTACGGGCCCTGGTCAAACAAAGTGCACTATATTTGGGACGCAGCCATATTCTTTGACATCCATCACCTGCTTCAAACTACTGGATGTGTGCACTGTGTTCTACTGTACGTCAAATATTTTCTGTCCTTTCACAACCAGACACCCCCGTCCCGTGGCTAGTTAGCTACCTGCTGAACGGTGAGGTCCACGCAGTGCAGGGTCCTCTGCAGCCGCTGGCTGACGGAGGGGATGGGAGGGGGGTTGCCCTCGGGGCTGGACTGGATCTCCCCCTCCTTCAGCAGACGCCCTGCCTGCTCCCCTGCCTTGTACTCCTGGGTGGGCCTCCGACGCCCGTGTCTCTGCGTGGCGCCAACCATGGGGGTGCCACGGGGTGTGGGCTGGGCACTGTGACCAGCCGTCTCCCAGGCTAGGCTGGCGCCTGTCATCTCCACGGCAACCTGGGGGTTCTGGGGCTTGTCCCGGATCATCTCCACCTCTGCCATCAGGAACAGGCTCTGGTAGGCCAGGGAGAGCGGTGTCAGAGAACACACACACACACACAGTACAGGCTCTGGTATGGTCCGGAAGCGAGGAGAGGCGTATTAGAACACACACACACAGTACAGGCGCTGATACGGCCGCTATGCGAGGACAGGGCATCAAGAGGTGGACTCTGAGACACACACATGCATGTAGGAGTCTAGTCATGATGACAATGTGAAGGTCATTGATGTAAAGGTTAAAGCAGTTCAAACCTATCTAATAATATAATAATAATAATATATTTTATCTATTTGGTTTCAAAAGACCACATTGCATCTAGAGCCGCTTGGCACCGCATCGCCCCCTGCCCATTGTTCCAGGAGGTGCTGAAGTGGTGTGTGTCTTGTGTTTGTGTGTTCTGAAGTAATGTGGGTGTGTGTTTTCTGAAGTGGTGTGTGTTTTCTCAGAGGACAGAGAGGGGGATTAGGAGAAACAGAGCCCCTTCCAGGTCCAGGACAACATACCCAGACTGAAACACATCCCACTCACATGCCACAGAGAGCCAGCCAGACCAACGGACAGGCAGACCCAACACATCCCACTCACATGCCACAGAGAGCCAGCCAGACCAACGGACAGGCAGACCCAACACATCCCACTCACATACCACACAGCGCCAGACGAACAGACAGCAATAAACGAACATACAGCAATAGACGAACAGACAGCGCCAATATGAACAGACAGAGACGGACGTTACAGACAGCGCCAGACGACGATTATGTTTTTATTGTCACATACACCAGATAGGTGCAGTGAAATGTGTTGTTTTACTGGGTGAAACGGACAGCGACAGCCGAACCGACAGCCGAACAGCTGAACAGACAGCCGAACCGACAGCCGAACCGACAGCCGAACCGACAGCCGAACCGACAGCCGAACCGACAGCCGAACAGACAGCTGAACAGAGAGCCGAACAGCTGAACAGAGAGCCAAACAGCTGAACAGACAGCCGAAACGACAGCCGAACAGACAGCCAGAAAGAAAGAAAAAGGGAGGAATCTTACCTTGAACCTCTCCATGGCTACCGATGCTTCTGACAAGGACTTGACAGAGAAAGGGGTGACCTTCAGGGCAAAGGTCATGGCGTTGAAAACGGTCACCACTGTAAATGCCTGCGAGGGGAAGAAAGATCCAACACCATCCATCCTTTGTTTCAGACCTGGTTGACCGGCTTCTGTCAGTCAAAGCATCCCTCGAGTATAGTCACTTTAACTCTACCCACATGTACATATTACCTCAACTAGCCGGTGCCCCCGCACATTGACTCTGCACCGGTACCCCCCTGTATATAGCCTCCCTACTGTTATTTTATTTTACTTCTGCTCTTTTTTTCTCAACACTTTTTTGTTGTTGTTTTATTTTACTTTTTTATTAAAAAATAAATGCATTGTTGGTTAAGGGCTGTAAGTAAGCATTTCACGGTAATGTCTACACCTGTTGTATTCGGCGCATGTGGCAAATAACATTTGCTTTGATTTGATTTGCCTCAACTTGTCTTTCTTCTGATTAGCAGGGTTGGAAATATTGCTTACACATATTCAATCCTCTCTGATCTACTGGAGTGTCTAGGGCCTAGGGTGGATGAAATAGTACCTTATTCCCTATCTACTGCACCATAGTAGGGCCCTGGTCAAGTGTACTGCACTAAATATGGTGCCACTTGGGAGGCAGACTGGGATTGGACCAGATAGCTGGTAGCTACCTGAGCAGCGGTGAGGTCGTAGCCCAGAAGCATGTGAGTGGAAAATGTGGCAACGCTGGCGATCACCACAACGATGGGAGCCACGCCCACTGTGATGCTCTGGAAGTAGCCTGTCCTCTCTAGGATGACGCGCTCCTCCTCTCGAATCCCTGCAAGGGCAAATATATCAGTCAGTCAGTCAAACAATGAATCAGTCTGTCAGTCAGTTATCCAACCAACCAGCCAGTCAAACAATGAATCAGTCTGTCAGTCAGTAAAACACTGGTCGTATTCAGGTTTAGGCTAATGCAGATGACTACAGATGGAAGTCGACAGGAGAGGTGCATTTTGCATTGGTGAAACAAAAACACCCTAATGATTGGTTGACAATAAAGCCTCCCACAATGCAGACGATGGCTGCAGGTTGAAGTTGGTGAAGAGCAACTTGCAGTTGAAACTTCGTGACGTTTGATCACCATGTTTTTGTAAAGAAACGGCAGTCGACATGTAGGCGCAAGTTGGAATTGTTTATCCCCATAATGCAACACAACTTTGCAACTTTCCAAAATCTGATATTCTGCGCAGCACGACTGCGAAAAAGTTTACATGGAATGCCACCAGTCATTCAGTCAGTCAGAAAAATTTATCATCCAGCTAATTGATCAATTAAATCTCACACACGGCACTTACTGCGCACATCCTGGGAGAAGGCCTTGACCCAGGCGTACATCTTGATGAACTTGATGTAGTTGAGGATCTCGTTCATCTTCTGGACCCGCCGATCCGTCACGGCCACGCCCTTCCTCCTGAAGTAGGCGGTCAGCCTCGAGCTGAACATCTGCAGCAGGGAAATGTTGTTATATCATGTCTTTTCATTGTTCTGTGTGTGTGTGTGTAAGTCTGTATGCTGCTCACCATAGCAGGATAGAAGAGGATGAAGACTGCAGAGCCCAGTAAGGAGGTGGGACCCAGTATCGCCAGGTTGTAGCCCATCCCCAGCACAGCGATAAGAGGCCCACCTGCCAGCAGACTGCCCACAGCCGCCGCCTCAAACATCCGCTGGCCGTCGTTAGAACACATGTTGATCAACTGCAGAGAGAGCAAGAGAGACACTTACATCAGTACAGAACTACACCAGCTCCATCTCCTACTCTACACGCCATGTATTGCATTGCAAATCATGCATTCTGGCAACAATAGCGAACTGTTTTGCAATGCTAGTATTGTATTAAAGGTGAGTCTCGAACAGAGTTACTTTGGCACTTTCTCGTTCACACTAACGATAAGCAACATCTGAAATCCCTTAACACCGTTTAGCCTAAATGAGAGCTAGCATTTTTGTGAGGCTAACCATTATCTCACCCCTGTCCCTCCCACCCCATCTCACCAGCCCAGTTCTCTTAAAGAAAAACAATTTGTGTGAAACCTCTGTCTGGTGGTCTCACCTGTCCCATGGATTTGTCTCGGATGCTGCGGAGCCGCAGGATCTTGTGGAAGGCCATGGTGAGGATGGCGCCCCGCAGGCGGGTGCCTGTGCGGTAGTTGAGGGCCCAGGTGAGCGCCAGTGACCAGGAGCGGACCAGCTCGGTGCACAGCAGCCCCACGACCAGCAGCAGGCCGTAGGGCAGGTCGGGTTCCGCCTGCTCTGTGTACTCCAACAGCCGCTTCACCACAAAGGCCTAGCAGGAGAGGAGAGGGCAGGAGAGGAGAGGGCAGGAGAGGAGCAGGAAGAGGGCAGGATAGAAGATGGCCCTCGGAGAGGAGAAGAGGGCAGTGAGAGGGTGCTAAGCAGGAAGGAGAGGATCCCGAAGGAGAGAACGAGAGGGGGAGAGGAGAGGGAGGGAGTGGGCGGAAGAGGGTAGGAGAGGAGAGGAGAGGGAGGAGAGGGAGGAGGGCGTGGAGGGGCGGGAGGAGCGGAGAGGGAGGGAATGTGAGGGCAGGGAGAGAGAGGGGGGGGAAGGAGGGGAGAGGGGAGAGGAGGAGAAGTTGGAAGGAGGGGAAGGAAGGAAGGAGAGGGAGGGAGGAGGAAGGACGGGCGAGGAGTAGGTTCTTTTCTAGTTCCTCTCCTTCTTTAGAGTGCGAGGAGGAGAGATAGAAGAACGAAGACGGAGGGAGGACGTGGAGAGGGGAAGATTCAAAGAGGTAAGAGGAGAGGAAGGAGAGGAATTAGGGAGGGGGAAACGAGGGGAGGGAAGGAGGAGGGGAGGGAGGGAGAGGATGGGGACGGAGGGAGAGGGAGGGGGTGAGGAGAGAGGCATGGAGAGAGGGAGGGGGAGGAAGATTTTTGGGGAGGGTAGGAGAGGGGGGGAGGGTGAGGGGGGGGGAGGGAGGAGAGGAGGGGGAGGAGAGGAGAGGGGGGAGGGAGGGAAAAGGGGGGAGGGGGGGAGGAGAGGAGGGGAGGGAGAGGAGGGGGGGAGAGGGAGGAGAGGAGGGGCAGGAGAGGGGGGTGGGAGGGGGGGGTAGAGGCAGGGAGAAGGGCAGTCAGAAAGAATCAAAAAGCCCCCGGAAATTTCAAAAAAAAAGGAGGGGCCCGAAAACGGAGGGAAGCTGAACAGGCTCTACTGACTATTTCTTTAGGTTCAGCTCTCACCCTTTACCTCTGGTGGCATTTTGCTAAGATTTTGTTAAGATCCTTTAAAAGAGGGAAAGATTGACACTGCCGTTTTTCGGCACAGAGAATCCCATTCCAACATGACATTTCCTATTGTTTGCATCATCAGGTAAATGGATTCAGACATTATACCTACAGTCACATCGGGTGGGAGTGGCCGTGCAGTTATGTCTAAAAGAACTGGAAGTTAACGTCAGCAGATTATACAGACGAGAGAGACAGAGCAGAGCAAATAGAAAAAGGTGTGGAATCCTGCACACACATACTGACACACACACACACACACACACACACATACAGACACACACACATACATACTGACACACACACATACACACTGACACACACACATACACACTGACACACACGATGTACCAACAATCAATTCCACATTCACGTTAATCAGTCCACAACCAGGGAGTCAGCAAACCTACATTGTTGATAAATGCATGTTTTATTGAAATAGGCAAATAGAAACCTTGAAACCATTCGTGTAAACTATTTTTAAAAATTGCAAACAGCACACATGTAAATCCATCATAAACAGGTTAAGAAAACAACAAAACACAGCTGATCAGATCCATCAGGAAAGAGTATCAAACGCAATTCACATCAGAGGCACAAGATCAGGTCAACAGAGTTTTGTCAGGTTTAGCCTCAGTCTTTTAGTTTGTTTTGTTCACGTTTCTAGTCCTCTGGGTTGAGATATGTGACATCTCATATTTAGTTGCGTCTCCCCTTAGGTCATTGTCCAAAGATCCAGGGGGGGGGGGAATAATAATGGCACTGGAATGGTGTTCCACCAGCGGACCATGCCAACCTGTCTTTTAGCGAGGGGGGATTATGAGGCCCAAAAAAGGTTGAGTCTGTTGATACAAGCCTAGTGTGTTGTATCTCCTCCCTCTAGCCTGAGAGGATGAACAGTCCAACAACACATCGCATTTAATGGGAAAACCGGTCCGATTGTCTGAGACTAATATGACAGTCTGACTGAGCAAGTTTGTTTATAACAGCAGATTGTTAGAAGTGATAAATCAAGAAAAACAAAACAGCATTGAACACTGCATACAAACATACAAATAAAAACTATGTTCATGACATCGAACAGCATTTTACAGTGCATTGTGGTAACCCATCAGTTATTTTATTAAGAGATTTTATATATCAGAGCGAGAGAGATTAGAGTGTCATTTCCCCAAATTCGAAACCGATATTCAAGGTTTCAAAGACCTCTCTGATGAGGATAGGCTACCCGTCCTGTTGGGGGAGGACGCAGAGAGCTGTGGGTTGGCAGCGCACTACATTGCTGCCTGCCATAAGATGAGGGACAGTGTCTGACAGACCAACCAACCTGCACATGTCCTGTATGCTTATTGTTATTGTTCAGTGTATGGTTATTTTGACCCTTGATTATTGTTGTTACTGTCGTCAATATTGTTTATTATTATTTTAATTATGTTCATATTGTAAATCTCCAAAGTAAGCTTTGGCAATATGTACATTGTTACGTCATGCCAAATAAAGCAAATCGAATTGAATTGAGAGAGAGAGAGAGAGAGACAGAGTAAGAGACAAAAACGTTTTAGAGAAATAACTTTTGATCCATCCCTGCATGAGAAACATGCCCTTACCTCTCCGGCTTTCTTCCCCAGGGTCTCTGCCCGCTTCATTCTCTATTGCTCGCCGAGGGGTTTAAACGGACACCCTGTGGAATCTGAAGAACAGCCTCTGTCACACGCCACCTTGCATGGGGGGAGCAGTGAGCACAAACACTTGTATGCCATGCCCTCACCCCGTCCCAAACTGCCCATCTATAATAATGGGGGTGATACAATAATCTTCCCAGCTAACACATTTTGGTTAACGTTCTGGGGAAAAAAACATTTAGGTTGTGGGAAGGTTCCTGAACCAACATAACATTGCCAGAATGTTGTAGGCAAATAATTTTTCAAATTACCAAAGGAGAACCACTAGGAAACGTTACAGGAACATTCTGTACTAGTTGGGTTGCTTTAACCTGGGTGAGAGACACAGGTGTGTTGCTGTGCTGCTATAGTAAGAGCAGATGACAGTACTTGGGTTGCAAAATTCTTGAAACGTTCCCAAAGTTTCTGGGTTTTCCTGAAAATTCACAGGTTCAGAATATTCTGGAAAACCTGAGAACTGTGGAAAGGTTTGGGGAATTTTGCAACGAGGTAGAGACGGCTCACTGTGTTCCCTGTGGAAGAGGATGACAGAGGCTATCCTAGGAAAACCCTAACACCTGGGTCGTGTTCATTAGGACACGCAACAGAAAACACTTTGCAACGGATAACGGAAATGTGCGTTTTTTATTGGGCAAGTCCAGGTAGTCCCCCCCTGTTTCAGTCAGTTTTCTTTCCGTTTGGTGCCTAATGAACACAACCCTTCCCTCTAAAGCACCTGTTCTCACCTAAGAGAGGCCTACAAACACCAGAACAACATAAAAAACAGCTGTAGGATGGACAATTGCAACAAGTGTCATCTATCTAGTCACAGAGACCCTCTAGGGGGCGGCAGACAGGAGGAAGGTTTCTGACTAAGGTATTGTTAACTAAAGAACAAGGATTCACAATTTCCATAACCCATAACATTGTGGTCTCCTCAAAAAAGCCAGACACAATGGATCCGAGATGACACCATTGAAAAGAAACAGATTGGAGTTGGACTGGTAAAAACACAAAAACATCCCATTCCATAACCCTCCTCTAGTATCCAGTTAATTGGTTTCAAATGAGTCGTCAGTAAGGCACATTTCAGACCACAGTGTAGCCCTTTACACTCGTACCCGTATACGGGTTGAAAATGGCAGAGTTGGGCACTGATAAGCAACTAAATTGGAACACAGTGGCTGTACAGTAACATGCTATACATGACATCAGAGCTCAGGCTCTGTGCTTCACAGCGCTGTATGAGTTTTGATGACAGCCGTTCTGAACTTGAGCACCGCACGTGACAAGCAGTTGCCCCCATCCCTCCCGCTAATTGGGCAACTTTTGCTAATGTTTTGGCGTCTGAGTCAGGGAAATGCTGTAAATTAAGAGGACTCGATGCATTTTTGAAAGATGAGATATTTAGGATTATAATAAATACCGCTTTGATGTCATACAAGCAAGCCAAACACCTGTGAGTCCAAATGTGCACTTCACATTTCGATATCATAAAACTCATTTAGTGTCAACGTTTTTGATTACTATGTTTGATGCACAGTTACAAGATGACATGGCGTCATAGGCTCATTCTGTTAAAAACAACCAGGTTGTTTGTCTATTGGGAAGAAAATTCACTGCAGAATACACACCGGAATGCACTCATGACTCCTTTCTATGCACACCAAAATTACAATCTGTTTCTCTGAATTGCCTAGTGAAGACTAACACTAAGATCGTATTTTATAACTTAGCTAGTCATGTTGGAAATAGAACAAGCTTTCAAATGATTCCCACTTGACCCAGATTGCAATTTATAAATGTGCCATTTTTGGAATGTGTAAACAACAGAAATTGTGTGATGGCGGAGATGCAGGGTTGTGTTCCAAACAAAACAAATACAAGTGTGCTTGCTCTAGTTCCTCAACGGCACAGCTAGGAAAACTCAAATACTATTCTTTGAGTCATAAAAGTGCATTGAAATTACCTAGGAATTGCACACTTTGGAGAGATGTGTAGCCACTTGGAAACACCAGTTAGACCCTTCACTCAAACCTTTGTCCTTGTTTTGCCTTATACCCCACATTTCCCAGGAATATTGTTATGTTACTGAATGTATCCAGTTTTTTCAGATTGCGGCGAAAAGTACAGTCAATGTAAAATGCACATAAAATCACCAGTGTAATGTTTGGATTCAGTCTTGTGTCAGGTGAACTTTTGAGTCCTCTATTCAGGTCTAATAATTTTCCCATAATCTCCAAACTGTTCCCTTTCAATTGCTACCATGTTTTTCATATTTCTTCTGTAAGAAACATTTCAATGTAGCCCTATCAATATAGGCCAATTCACACGAGTGTAAAGGGTTAACATTGAGACAGAAGAATCTTAACACACGTAAAACTCATCTGTAGGCCTCAGCCTTAATGGAGGGAAGGGGACAGAGGCAGGGGGGAGAGAGAGAGAGCGCTACTGAAAGAAAGCCTCCACAGGGGGAGGATGAGATGGCGTTACTTACTGGGCCACTGAAGCCGGCTAGCTGGGTGACCATGAGGCAGAGGATGGAGAGAAGCAGGCGGGTCCGACAGAACGCCCAGACCACGCCGCACAGGGAGGCCTCGTCCCCTTTCACCCTGCGCTCCTCCTCCCACAGCCCGGCCAGCCTGCGCACACACAGGTGATCAAACCACAGTCGACCAACAATCACTCACTCTATTCTCCCTCTACTAAGAGTCAAGGCCGGAGTCAGGTACCACATGAGCACAAAGCCTTTTCTCTGTCTTCCTCTGAAACTGACCCCCTCTACATTCTGATTATCACTGTCCATAAAACAATGAAAACATTTTGTTAAGGGGAAGAAAACTGGAGCTGTTGAGAACTCCGACCCAAACCTCTTGAGACCCAGACCAAAACCCAAGGGTATCGAGACAAAGACCAGTTAAAATGTTGAAAAATAAGACAGAGGCCGAGACCCAGGCCAAGCACATTCTCAATGACCTATCCTTGGAAGGGTGACCTTTGTGACCCTGTATGTGCAGCGATCAGTACTGACCTGCGGCGGTTGACCTCGCAGCTCTCAAACTGGGACACGGCCCACACGTCCTCCAGCAGCAGCTGGCCTTTGCGGTGGGCGTGAACAGCCAACGGGGTCAGCCAGTTGAAGGTCATGAAGGAGAAGAGGCCCGCGTTGTCCACCGGGTGCTCGTGCCTGTGGGGGGAGTGGGGTGGAGTTGTGGGGGACAGATAAGTTAGAGGAACTTCTACTCGTGTACAGCAAGAGGAGTCTCAAGATTTCCTCCTTAGTTATTCCATTCCACTTGCTCTTTGGTGGTCTAGGCCAGGTTACTGTAAAGAACTGTGTGACAAATCTTATTCTAAAAAAGGGCCAATATAGGTGAGAGAGCACCTATTTGTAGGACCCAGTCTTTCCTGACCACTTGGCCTGACAAGGAAAAACTCCAGGCCCTACCGATATGCACCTCTTACAGCGGTGGTGCTGCTTGCTTACTTGCTGGTGGAGCGGATAGGTTTGAGGACGCCGACGCTGTGTTGGTATTTGCTCCGTACTGCTTCCTCCTCCAGCTCTTTCATGTAAGGAGCACCACCGTCCAGGGACAAACCGCCCTCTGCCCTTGCCGCCGTCTCCAGTGCATCCTGGGATTGAAGGAGATTATTGTATTGTCGATAAGAGCAGATACATTTTAAACATTGACGTGATGGATGCATTGGAAGCATTTAGCTTGTGGTGGACATTAGAGGTAGCTGTACCACTTCCTCCCACCGAGACTAGACTCCAGGACCTTGTCCTAGCAAACACACGTGACCGCCCACCTAAAATGTTCTTAGCCAGTCCCGCCACCAAAACGGATTCAAATTGGCAACAAGTCTCAGGCTCAGGAGTGAGTTTACAAATCCCCATCACTAATTTTTGTAGCGTCAGTCCCTACTTGCTTGATGACAGTAAATTTGAGAAGTTCACTCAGACATGACTCGAGTATTAGGTAATCATCTGGCCACCTCATCGGCCCGAGTGCAGAGAAAGCAGAACATTGTAGTATGTGTCCCAAATAGCACCCTATTCCCTACATAGTGCACTACTTTAGACCATTGGCCTATGAGCCCTGGTCAAAAGTAGTGCACAAGGTTCTAGTCTTGGTGTGAGCCGTTCTTTAAGTGCAACACTCACAAATTAATCACGAGAGCCGCGGTGCATCTACAACCCCC